TATAATGTAATGTGGTTGTTTCTGAGTTTTATGCCATTCAATTAGATTGGAATTTAATCATCCAAGCATGATTCACTAACAGTTTATTTTTTTCAGGTTTGTATTGGAGGTGAAGTGCCAAAATCTTACTATCTCAGAGAGAAGGACCAGCTCTCCTCAGAATACCTTGTAAAGTCTGTTATAAAGAAAGGATCAATGCTCCCTGTAGAGCTGGAGGTCAATGAACCAGGGTGTGCAATAAGGTGATTGCAATTCATCAAAATTCCATTCACTCTATGTGTGAATGTAATTGATTCTTATTTATCATTTATTTTTAGATTACTGGTTATGGTATGTACTGTACAGTAGTGTATGACTAGTGCAACATTTTAATGGCCTTTTTGTGTGTTCTTTAGATTTATCAGTGCATTCTTAAAAATTTTAGTACATCCTCTATTCAGTAAGCGTTATGCAAGTACTTTGTAATAAGTAACTAAATTAAAATTGTAAATTTCTGATGCAAGATGTGTTACTTAATTGTCTAATGGTAAGCTAGCAAAACCAAAGTTGGCATATGTTGATCTATTTTCTTAAACCTGTGAATCATGACAACATTGTTAGTTTTGCTTTGGTAAAGACAGTTAACCTGCACTTCTGTATTGTTCTATTTCAGGTGGGAGTTTCACACAGAAAACCATGACATAGGTTACGCCATCTACTACAAGACAAGCCCTGGGGAGCAGAATGTGTCGGACATGGAGGTTGTGGTTGGTAATAAGAGGGTCAACAGTCACTTAGTGCCCGAAGATGGAACTGTTTATTGCTCAAAGGCAGGAATATGTAAGTTACTGTAAGGACAATGATGAAGTATTCACAAGGCAAACTTGATAAGTTATATGAAATAATTTTGGAATTGAATACATGTAGCAGTTGCAAGTAAAATTCTGCACGGCAAATTTAAAGGGTCTTGGTATATTCCACATAAAAGCTAGTTGAATTATGCAATTTTTCTCGTTTCATTGTGACCAGCATTGATATTCCATTGGAATTTTACATCATTTTTGGAAAAGGTGTATAATCTTCTGGTGATAGTTTTTTATGTCTGGCATATTATCTATTTTCTATGTTTCACATTTTTAAAAAAATTTAATAAACAATGTATTTCTGAAAGTTATAATACTATATATAATATATTTTTTTCAGATGTGTTTTGCTTTGACAACAGTTATAGTTGGACCAGAAGTAAGACTGTTCTGTATGTGATAGAAGTGATACATCCGGAGACACCTAGTGCAATGTGTAATGGGTATACACAGGAGGATGGAAATGAATAAAAAATTCTGCTTAGATACATTAAGATATATTTCAGTACTCTCTGATCATAGGAGTTGCTTTTGTTTTATCAGTTTCAAAATTGTAGAAAAGGCTCCTGTGAGGTTTGAGATGATCAATCTGTCTACTTTTATGTACCAGTAACTACCCCTTCCCTACCACCTATAAAAACGCAAAGTAGTAAAGGAGATAATTGTGTAATCACACAGCTGTACATTTGGAATATGTCTGACTCCTTGCTTGACCTTATCTATACAGCTATTAATATATTGCCTCAACACCTAGGTGTGAAATCTTCCTCTCAGAGAAATACAGAGGGTATATCTGGTGAGGAACATGTTTCACCTGACCATCTCAAATCTCACAGAGGTCTTCTCTTCAATTTTGTAACCAACTAGGTTACAGCAGCCCATGTGGTCAGGGCCAGCAATTTATAGACAATCATATTAGTAAGAAATGCTGGCATCAGTAAAATAGCCCATTATCTACAGCATAATATCAAATAGATCTGTTGTGTTACGATATATGAATGATCAAGAAAATCCATTTTGTTATTTTGAATTATGCCTCTCAAACTTCATAACTACTGTGTTTGAGTGGGAAAATGTTTCTTTGGGAGCACATGTATTAATTGTGGGGAGCCATATGAAATACCTCTAGATGAAGTCACAAATGGTGTCACAAAACAACCAATCAGCAGTGACTATATCCTTTTCAACATTTACCATACATCTGAAATCCATGTCATCCCATTCATGTGGGCATCTGTAGAATCAAGAAAACACTATAGGCACTTGGTTTGATCATTGTATTAATAAATGTTCCATCACTTAGAAGAGCCCATACTTATCTTACCGTGTGTCTCACTATAGTGTGAGTACACTTATCAGTAAGAAACCTTTTGTTGGGTGTGAACCATGATATACATGTATAAGATTTATTTTATGCATTTTGACGTATTAAAAATGATGCATACTTGAGCACATTTGAAGGTAACACGTCTTTACCCCTGCATATTACTAGGTAGTCAGGCTTCGTATATTTAAGATACATATAAAGCATTGGGTTGCATTTTCCATTTTAACATTTTAATGTGAAATAATTGTGGTATTAGTCTTTTTTTTCTTTCTTTTATCATATTGAAGATCTTTTGCAAATTGCAACTGAAATAGATGTACCAATAGCAGTATTACTGCCAAGAGAACACAATAACATGAATGATGATAATTGATTTTTTTGCTCTTTGTGACATTTAGTGGAAGTATAACAATTGATTTTTGCTTGTCTCTATATTAAAATGTTGTCAGTAGAACTATGACTGATTGGTTACAGGTAGAACATCTGCTTTATGACTCAAAATGTTTATTTGCAATGAGGTGCAACTTCACATATTGGTTTTGTCTTACAACGACAGGATTACTACAATCCCCATTGTTTGAGTAATACTCCTGTTGCCAATACTTTGAAATGGTCACCTGATATTTTAAGACATTTTTGTTGCTATGGTAAGCTACACCTGGCCAGTATTTTTCTGGTTGTGGTGAAATGCAATCAGCAGTGCTGATGCTATTTTTGTTGTTGTTGTTGTTACATATACTATGGTTACAAAATCTGTATAAGAACTGATAAACAATATTTTACACAGATAGAACTGTTGTGTTTCCTGTTTCTGGTAGGTGGTCGTTATGTAAACATTCACTTGAGCCAGCATGAACTGGTCTTGAAACAGTCAAACCCTTATACACATATTTGTNCTATTTTTGTTGTTGTTGTTACATATACTATGGTTACAAAATCTGTATAAGAACTGATAAGCAATATTTTACACAGATAGAACTGTTGTGTTTCCTGCTTCTGGTAGGTGGTCGTTATGTAAACATTCACTTGAGCCAGCATGAACTGGTCTTGAAACAGTCAAACCCTTATACACATATTTGTTGCAAAATTGATATAGTAATTAGACTACAATTTGTTGCAGTCTGCTTAATGTAATGTCATTTACAGCCAATATACATCCAAACTCACTCTAGACATTTTCTGAAATGTAGTTATCAGCTGCCAAAAATGTTTGGTCTCATGATTAAGTTTTAACCCTATGTTTTGTCTGAATGCAATAGCTAATTGAGCAATCAAACCCTTCAATTCATTTTCAGTGATTCCTATACCAGCAATGGTACAAAAATAGTCTTCATTGAAAGAGCTACCTGATACATCTGTGATAATAAAAGCAATGAGAATTGGAAATGTGAGCGTGCATGTGTGATTGAGTCTTTATGAGTACATATGTATATGCATGTTTTTAAATGAAAGCTAAAGAATTGCATTTGCCAAAGAAGTACTCTTTTAGCTTTCAATGTCCCCATGTGTTAAATCTAGTTGTTTTTTTTTTTTTTTAATTTTGTTCAGTGAATTTTGAAATAATATTAAAGGGATAACAACTCTTCATATGAGCTTGATATTTCACAATAAATATGCTGTGAACAACTCAGAAATATAATGAATTCTATTTTACCACCAAAACCATGGTTATCGCAATTATTCTAGAATGTGTGATTTCCATCAGGCCACATGACCTCCATAGATGACTTCCCTCTGTAATAATCTCTTAAGAGATTACTACTGGTACAAAAAAGTAAACTTAAAAAAAAAACTAGGGACTATCTTTTGGATGTTACAAGGTATATCTTCCATTTTACCCAGGAAAATCTATTTTTGGCCAAAAAGAACAGTTGTTATCCCTTTAACTACAATATCATTAGCCCATATCAAATTTGATGTTGATGTAAGTTTTAGTCAGATTTGATTTTGCTATTGTAATAAGAACATGCCAGTAATTCATTGCCAATTTTGGCAGTTAAATAAACTTTATAGATTCTCACTTTTTGTGTTCATGTCATGTTTGTAACAGGGGATACCTTGGTTTTAGCTTTGAATCACTTAGGCCGCATTCACAAAAGTGGACTCGCAAGTCCGCAAATCAGAAATGGCTACCCACATAAAAGCTTTATCCCCTAACAGACACTGAATAGATTCCCTGGGGGGATTACACAAGCATTCAAGTGGGTCAGCCATATTTGATCTGCAGACTAGTTAGTCTAGTTGTGAATGCAGCTTTATGGAATGAGAATTGAAGCAATGTTACAGTTACACCTCTACACTGACAACATAGGCATTATGCCCTAGTCTTATGGCATAGATCACATAATCTCAACTTGAATCTATTTCTGTGGAAGGTCAAATTCATATTTACATTTCGTTTCATAATTTTTTTTTTTTTTTTTTGGGGGGGGAGGTTAATAGATTTCGTGTATCTATATGTTGCCTGAGTTAGTGATCAAAAACATTTTACTACATACAGTTATAATAGCTGAAAACGTGAGATATCCAACACCTGTAGTAAGTGCCAGAGGATGACATTGGAAGTGATACGCTGAGTAGTTATAATACTCCTGTTGCCAATACTTTGAAATGGTCACCTGATATTTTAAGACATTTTTGTTGCTATGGCCAGTATTTTTCTGGATGTGGTGAAATGCAATCAGCAGTGCTGATGCTATTTTTGTTGTTACATATACTATGGTTACAAAAATATGTATCTATCTAGAAAAACAAGATAGAAGATAGTAGTTGCATCTTCTATCTTGTTTTTCTAGATGTTACTCTAAGGTTGCCGCAGAGAATGATTTTTACCCATTTGCTGACACGTGCATGTTTTGTGTGTCCAGTATTTATTTGTTATTTGCATTTGCCTTGACACATAAAACATATATCGAAATAACAAGTTCAGATTTAAATAAAAAATCAGTTTTAATTCATTATCCGGATTACCTAGAGTAAGTGCACATGAAAGGTGTGTAGAGATTTGGGTTACGGTATATATCTTGTATATCTTATTTGATTTTAAATTATGCTTGGTTTTGTCTTTAAGTAGGTGTAGCCTTCTATCACAGGCAAACCACAGCTTTGAGCCTTTATCCCTGATGTTATATATTGATTGATTGTATGGATACTCGCTGTCATCTTAATCTTCACTTAAAGGGTAAGTTACAGAACCATTTTCACTGAATTATATGTGTGCTGTTTGAAGTAAGTGATGTTTAACAGGTCCAAATCATCTGTTTAGTAATGTAAACAAACTAGGATGTTTTTCTTTTCAGTAACATTATTGTGTGACTATAGGTTTATACGGTAGCTTGTGTTGTGTTTGAAAGAAATGATCCATATGTTGACTAGCCTGTTATGTAAAGTGTTTCATAGAAATCTGAGTTACTGCTGTGTCCTGGTATATTTTATTATTCTTGTATGATTTTTTTTGCTTTTTATCAATTATCAACACAGTTCTTAAAAACTTATAGTAATTTTAATCAGATTCATGACAAGTGGACAAAACGTAAATGAATTATTCATTACAAGCCATCATTATGTATACAGTGTAGATTATGGGAGGAATGCATGACATGTGCCCACATAGAGTTGATGTAAGATATTACACTTCTGTGATTAACGGCAGGTAAGAAAATTCATCTAATGATAGACCAGCCTGCCACCCACCTGTATTATCATTATATAACCTGTCTGGGGTAGTTATACACAGGGTTGACATATGACTTGTAATATTTCAATTTTCATCTATTTTGATGTGCATATGTTAGTACATTAAATAATTGTATTTCAGTATAATATATAACTCTGATTAATACAGTTTTTCAAAAGATGGACATACATTTTATTTTGGAGAAGGCTAGTTCTTTTTTGAGTATATGTGTTTCTTTTTTTACAATAATCTTAGTAACCCTTCCCTTAAAAAATTGTCACTTTGTTTGCTTAAAATGACATAAACCAAAGGCATATACAATAGGGCCATCTGTAGGTTGGTTGCTAGAGCAAACTGTATTTGTAGTATGTCACCATTATTTTGCAAACACAGGAGTGTAGAAGCTAGCCTGCCTAGGAGCATTTACAGCCATTCTGAATAGACTTTTGTGCTATAGTTATAAACACCATCAAACTTAAGGAACGAAAAAGACTCAGGCAGCAAAGGACAAAAATTATTTCAGTAAGTGTGGTTTGATGTTTTCAAGGTTTTATCACTATTTGTAAAGATTTGGGTAGTTCAAATATTGGATATCTATTTTTTTTTTTTAATTTATTTATTTATTATTATTATTTATTTTTTTGAGAGGCCAAGGCAGGCATATTTTAGACAAAAGCACAATTGATTGCAACATTATTTTGATTGCAACATCCCCCAAATTATTTTTTAAAAATTTGATACCAGTAGCAGCACAAGTGAAATTGTTTTGTTCCACAATTGCAAGTACCATTACAAAATTGCCTGATAGAAGGATATTGTGAATGAAATGGTAATTTAGCTACTGTTAAGTTGTTAAAATGATTTTAATAATTAAACATAAATTTTAGTGCATTTCTTCATTATAGACAGCAGGTGCACATGTACAAATGTACACTGTACTAGTAGATCAGTTTTCCTGCATGTTTTTAAAAAATCTAATTTTTTTAATAAAATATTGAGCTAAGTAAAGCATAAAAACAACTCATTTTTTAAAAACTCTAACCAAATTGTCATGCATATGTGATTTTTATTTTTTATTTACATGTAACTCCATCATTCATAATTCTGAGAATATCAACAAGTACAAAAGTAATAAAATAGCAACTATGGTATTTGTGTTTCTTTTTTATTTTTCAGACTTATTTTAGTGCTAATACATTCAATTACAAACAGCTATACAACATCCTGAGATTTATAATATAGCTTTAATTCACACTTCATTATATATTAAGAAATATTATTGTTTTGGGAGAAGACACTAGCTGCAAGGGACTAATACCATCCTATATGATTAATGTTGATGGGTAACCAGTAGCAGAATCATAAATACATTATATACATGCATGGTAATGACACCATCTTTTCATTGGGAGGGGGGGGGGGGGGGATTATTAACGATCTTTGAGATACATAATTTTTAGAATCATTAAAAGTATATTACTATATAGCATTTGTGGTGATTTTACTGCATATAATATGAACTGAAGGGTAGTTTTGTGTGACTTAATCTTTGTAATAACTGCATTAAGGAATTTTTGTATGAAGGATAATGAATATAATATCAAATGGTGCTGAGTTATTACTTCGCATGGCTGAGGATTAGTTTTCCAATGCAGGTTCCTATGGCTCCTCTATTTTGAACTCTTCAGATTTACTTAAACAGACAATATGTTAAACAATTTTCCTTTTGACCAACTTAACAGTAAGTCTCATTTTCAAATGTGTGACTGTCAAAAACAGGGTACCCAATATACTGATATTTAGAAAAAAAATCCTCTACATGGATTTAGCTTGTAATTTCATTTTATCCCACATGATTATCACATTACATATTTCATGATCTACTTCCTAATACATATATGAGGTTAATAAAGTGGTCTATTGTGTATAGTTTTGTTTTTGCTTCAAATTTGTACCAAAATTGAGCTGAACTGACCATTGTTTATTCTTGTTTACCTTTGCCAATGGTTGAATATTGTGAACTTTTCTTGTCCCTATTAAAGAGGTATCAATAAAAGACTAATAGGTCAGCAATGCCCATACCTAGAGACTTGTATAGAAAACGTCCACTTAAATACAATGAGGTTGCAATGCTCTGCATTTTTCAGATAGATTTGTACTGTTTTCAGCTTCACTGGTGCGTTAAGAGGTGAAAAGTTCACTGTGACGTCAAGTTCAGAGGTGTCAGCCAGGATCCTTGGGATATGTGGTTATTTGGGCGCAGTACAAAGAAGAAGTCACAGACTAAGAAGATGCCCAAGAAGGTAACTGAAAAATATTCCATATTTGTGTGTATATTTAATCTGTAAAGTTCTTTTTATGCTCAAAGTTATCTTTAGGGCAATTGTTTAACGTTTGAAAATTCATTTTCTTTTTTGTGATGATTGAAAAATAGTATTTTCTAAATATATTTAATAAAATTTAATCAACTTGGTTCCTTTGACATTTTATAATTTTTTTTCTACTCGTCTCATAGTAAGCATGCATTTGCTCATGCACAGTCAAAACTTTCACAATATCTCTGATACAACTACACTGGCAAAGAATTACATCACACAGTCTAGACTGGCAGTTCTATGTAGGTGAAAGGGGAGGGGCAGGGAACATACCTGGCACACATGTACCTACATATGCAGCTATACATATACCTGTGTAGTATATGTATCAAATTTTGTACAAACTGTTTTACCTAATTGTGGGGAAAAAAATTAGTTGTCAAATAAATGGTTTTTGCGCAACACATTCAGCTTGCAGGCAGTGTAATGCAAATGTAAGATTAACAATGCAAGGGTCAGTGTCTCTACAGGTGACCACATTCCATAATTGGCAGGTGTCACAGAGTAGGATATAATAACAGAGCTGGTTTTATAACTTTTTATCAATTGTTCATATCAATATGGAATGTTGATACCAATAAGATACTTGAAAGTAAGTGCATATGCTATTATGAGATTATGGTTGTATAAGCATTTTGTTTGTTTTGCAAAGTGATATTGGATAGTTGAATGAGAACTTTAAAGTAGACAAAAATATTTTAATTGCACTATTTTTATAAGCATTATGCACTGCAGCATAAGAATACCAGTTGGTTATTTAGTTTATAGTTTGATGGGAAAGAGGTAACCATGAAAAAAAAAACAATACAAATATTATGCAAATACCCACTACACACACCCTAATAATATAAGCTATTACATATACACCTATATGTTCAGTGACAGCTACTGGGAGAGAGGGAGGGAGGGATGATTGAGTTAAGTGGCCTATTATTCATTGTTTTGCACAATATTGTGTCCACAAAGGTTTTCCGAATTACTATATTTTGCTTCCTGTCCCCATAAATGTTCAAGATCACCATCATCAAGGGCAATTGTAAAGAGCCATTTTCTCAAAATCTTGGCTCTTAGTGGACATGTTGAGTAAATGGCTTTAAGTCCTTTACCAGCTCATATAACCATTTCTCCATGAGTGACACATGGGAAATATGAGTTATAGTTACCTAGTGTGGACATGTCCACAAAGCCACAATAGTGCTCTTTTTGTTACAAATACAGGTTTTACCTGCTTTAACCCTAGATCATGTTTTCATTATGGCCATTTTTGCTCAGTTATGGAATGCAGCCTCACCTGCAAATGACCCTAGATAGTAAGTATGGTTTTGTCAGACAGGCTATTTTTATTCATTGATCTGTATGATATAGATTGTCCAATGGCTCATTCCTATTAAAAAAAAAAAACAAGAAAAGTTTAATTCTGTATTTAAATACAGCATATTACAGCCACAATCTCTTACTTGTCATTCTAATTTGCATTAAACACATAATTAGATATAAGACTTTAAATTATTATTATTATGATTATGTGTCTTGCATTTCTTTTTTTTTTTTTTTTTTTTTTTTGTTTCTATTGATAGAGCTGTTGCCAGGGATACTTAGTGATTCATCAATGTTTTGTTATTCCCCTCCAACAACAGTAGTATATAACTTATGGGATGAAATATCACGTCCCTGGTAGTGTAAATAGATTTAATACAGTACTAGTAATAGGCGTTTATAAACCCCATAAAACCCAACATGCAGTGGCAGGTACACCCCTTTTCCTTACTCATAGACCAGAGGAGCAAACAAAGTCTTTAGTTAAGTGCTGCAAAATGACTGTGAGATTGCACCATAATTTCTAAACATTTCTTCCAAGAGAACAAAAAGCAGTCATGACATGTTTGTTAATGTTTGATGCAGGAGAATGGGTCCTGGTGTCTATAAAAGGCAATTTGAACTGCATTTGAATGTGTATGGCATGACATAATGTACCTGACATATAGAATAATGGCTGGTGTCATTACATTGCACTGTACCTGTCAGGAATAAGTAAGTGTGTAGGTTGGCTGCAGTACATCTCTCATCACTGTCTGTACCATAACAAAGCTAAGATTAAGAAATAATCACATATAGTGAATGGTGAGTGTAAATCTTTTGGATTTGTCCAGTGGCCAAAAAAACATTTATTACTCTAATTCATTGCAATCCCACGGATTTTATTTTGATCAAGTCATTTGATTATATATGCAATAATCAACAACATGTCATATTTATTGATAAGTCAAAAGGTCTAAATCCATCTAATAGCCCTTCTTTAGAACATCCTGAATGTTTTAAAAATTACCATCTGCCTTCATTCAGTGTTGATACCAGGCACACCACAACATATATCTTATCTCATTCCAGAACATTTAGAGAAGAAAGATTTGCATGTCTTTACAGTATATAAGGGGGTTGTAAAGAAATTCTTGTGCAAATTTATCACTGTTTCCTGAATTTTTGCATAAGGATAAGCTAAAAATTAGATTATGGTTGAGCTTGATACATTTATTTGATTTTTTTTAGCTCTTCATTAGCAGATATATAAAGATTTTAAAACAATTTCATGAAAAGAAGCTTGGGTGTCTTCTGGGATACTGTCTGTATTCATCTCTTATATCATGTCATGTTATGACAGTCATTTCATGTCGAGTTGTGTCGTGTCATGTCATGTTATGCTATGCTATGCTATGCTATGCTATACTATGCTATACTATGCTATGCTATGCTATGCTATGTTATGTTATGTTATGTTATGTTATGTTAAGATGTGGTGTAGTTCAATGCCAGAATTCTTGACTAAAATAATAAATGTGCCATTGCTCATGAAAATCAAAGTGAAAATATGACAATGAGCTGTTGCCAAGGTGTCAAACAAAACATTTAAAATTGTAACATTTCAATAGAAAAAGAACACTTGCTGTATTCAATAAAATAGCATCAAAGCTGTCAGTGATTTTCAGATATTTTCTTTTAATTTCCAGTATACCTTCAGCCATGTCAATGATGAGAGCCCTGAAGAAATAGCAGTAAAGCAGGTGGGTGTGTGATCACTACAGGTATATGATATAGAGTGGTTGATTTGATATGTTCTCAATCTGGATCCTGATGGGTTTTAATTTACTGCACAGTGTTCAAAGACAAAAAAAAAAAATCCTGGGTAATTTTGTTTTATTTTTTCTGTTTATTAATTAGTTATTTACGGTAATTCTCCAATCTATACGAACGCCGCAATAATTACGAACGAAACGTTTTTTCTCTGAATCTGAATTTTTTGTCTCCGTTCTGTACGAACGATCGCTAAACTCACCTTGGGCACAATTTAAATTTTCTGAACGCAAGAAAGTGTGCCCGATTGAAACTCGCCCCATGATTCGTCAAAGCGAGTTTTCAGACCACCGTTCCAAACAAAGGAACTGCCACTTGACAGGAGAGATTGTTATCATGTATTTGTGCTGTTTTTGAATGAGACAATAGGAGGACTCAACCTGCCCGCCGGCAGCTAAAGGCCAGTAGTTTTAAAACCCTATTGTTATTGAGAAATTATTGACAGCATCAGTACGCATAAATTACTTACTGTTTATTATCATTTCTTAACTTCTGCCGGCCGACTGGATCATCAACATCCACCATCAGTGTTTCACCGATAACTGGTTTCTAGTAAAATCTATAAACTTGAAACCAGTTATCGGTGATTGTTTGTTTGTTTGTTTGTTTGTTTTTCCTTGTTAAAGACCTTGTCTCATGAGCAACTATTAGGTAAACCTTACTGATATTAGTGATTGTGAAAAATAAAGGTGCCGTATGACCTTATACAAATTTGCCTGCAGTTTTCTGTATTTTTTCTAATTAAGTTTACATTGATTGCGTGCAAATTAATATGCTGTATAAGACTTTCATAAATAGACTTGAATTGAGCTGATGTTATTTTTTATATCAAGTATAATCTCTATTAACGTCAGTGATATCTACTGTGAGGAGTTTCAAGTATTTTGTTTTGGCGGGAGAAATTTATGTAGGCCTAATGGGGGGGTGTGTGACATTATTAATATTGCACATTTTCTATATGTGAAATCATATTAAAAGTAAACATGCAATAAATAAAATATGCAACTGCATACGAAAATATTCTTGTCTGTTTTTGACAGAAGTTGGGAAAAACGATGTTGTCCTGTCTTGGTAAAACATAACAGGGAAAAAACGATGTTGTCTTGTCTTGGGAGAAATGTACCTCTTTAGTATGAAGAAATTGTTTTTTAACTTGAATTCCCGACTTTTGTTTAGTTTGTTTTAATTCATTGCAATATTGCAAGAATAATTTGTTTGTGCTTTTAGCTGATCACAGTGATTTAATCTGAAAGTAATGCTTACACTTAGCAATGTAGGTAAGTGGAAATAACTTCAGGTACAGCCGTATTCCATCCGTATTTCAATGGATACGAACGCGTGGCAATTTTTAGCAGACTGAATTTCAAGCCTTACGAACAAAATGATTATCTTCCAAAAATAATTAATTTAAATCGTTCGTATAGATTGGAGAATTACCGTATTTATATCTGCTTCATCCCAAGCGGTAAGAGATTCATCAAGAATTAATAAAATCAAATGTCAAAATTAAACACAAAGTGGCTACCTGAATTATAACACGAAAAACAATCTTGGGATTCAAATATTCAACAGTTTTTTCTCTTTAAATCTCTTTTTACAAATTATGCTTCAGTTGAATATATCAGTGGTCAGCGAGTGGTGCTGCAGCGGGTGCCTTTAGGTCAAATTTTATTTATTTATGAAAAACACTGTTGTGGTTTAACTACATGTAGATACTAACATATTGCATGCACAATAGGGATCTGAGAGGCTCATTGCCACTCAACTTGTGAAGGTTTAATATGCGCAACACACCTTGGTACTGAATACACAGCTTACCATGTATTCCTAAGAGTTAAGATACCCAAGACCTTATTGGCTAAGTTTGTTTGCATGCATAATGCCTCTGATGGTATTTTTTAGACTTAAGAAAGTGACCAAAGTCCAAGATTACATGTACCACATAACAAGGCAGAAATTATGTATTGACCAGTGTGTCTGATATAAACAGATTCAGAGACTGGTGACAAAGATATAAATAACCCCACTGCTTCACAACTCCTTGAATACCATTTGTACATGTAGAAGCCAAGATACAGTGGGAGAAAGCACATGGGAATTAGCTAGAATATGTATGCCTATCATGCATGTGTTTCTGATCTCTGTAAAGCTTGGTATAATTGGGAGAAATAATTGACAATCCCATAGCTGCATGATAATTAAAGAGCCGTAAGGCAGCAGGCTTGTTTTCATTCCTCTTCATTGTTAAAAATACATATACATGCATGTATATAAGTATGCATGTAACTGGTTTTACAATTTGCTTAGAATATGTGGAAACAATATTTTTCTTACATTTTATTTGAGTCTTCTATATCATCACCTTTTCCCACAAATGATAATATCTGTCTTAAATACTATGTTTTTCATTACAGCTGAGAAGTTCAGTGAAAGATATACTCAAATCCCATCAAGACAATGATGATTACCTCAGGAAATGGCTTAAAGGTACTATTTTATCAGCTTTGTATCCATGTCTACTCAAATGAATCTATGCACCCAAATCTCCTTCCTCGTGTAAACTGTAAGGTCATAATTAGGCTTTTAAAACCCTTCATTGTTATTTCAGCTAGAAATTATGATGTCATGGAAGCTGAAAGAATGTTTAGAAATGTAAGTATTTTAAACATCTAAAAGATAGTATGCCTTGATAGAATAATGAAAATAGTTTATTCCAGAATGGCAAAAGTTTGAAAATTTACGTTTTTTACAAAATATTTAATGCAATTAAATGTCAAAAGACAGGGTTAATTGAAATAATTATGTTTTAAATGATATTTAATATGTATGGATAAAATACTAGATATTAAAAGTGTAATTGTCACCTGCATTTAAAAAAGGCAGTTGGGATAAAAGAAGTCCTAAAATTTTGGGTTTTATTTGGTGTTTTGACATAAATGGGCATCATGCAAGCTTTTATGGAAAGTTACATGCCAAGAATTATCATTGGTTGAGGGAAATATTTTTTGCTAAAATTTTTTGTATTTTAAAATGTGCAGAAATGGTTGTTTGCAAACAGCAAAACTGGTATATGTAACTTTTCTTATTGTTGGTTATATAAAAATTTTCTATAAACCTAAGTAATATTGTTGGATATATGTATATTTTCAGAGCATGGCTTTCCGCAAAAAGATTGGTGCTGACACATTGCTACAGAAGTACACGCCTCCTGAGGTAAGAAGATCTAGAATTATCACTGCTTTTTGTTTTACTATCCTCTTTTACTGATTTATGCATTATTTTTACACATGATGTTAATTACCTAGAGTTACATAGAGTTACATTACATTAGAGTTACATGTATGCGATGTTCTGCTAAAAGTTCTGCTAAAAGTAATTTTAGCAGTCTTCTTACAGGTAAAGGACTATGTCAAACAGGACCATAGGCAGGGAGGGTTGGGGGATTCCATAGACCCCCCTTTTTGCTAGGAAATGGTCCTCTCTAAATTTTATTTAGGCACATGAAGGTTTCAGAAAAAGAAACCCCCTTTTGAAATTGCTTTCTATGGGCCTGTCAGATGATAGTTATTCTAACTGTTCATTTCTAAATATGTCTAATAGTGATGGATTTATTTTTAGGTGATCCAGAAATATTTGACAGGAGGGTTTTGTGGGTTTGACAAGGATGGCTCTCCTGTCCGTGTGGAGTTGTTTGGACTTTTGGACATCAAGGGGTTGATGTACTCAGCAAGGAAGGTGGACTTGGAAAAAACCAAGATGTTGCAGTGTGAAAAAACAGTTAGAGATTGGGAAATCATGAGTAAAAAGGTAAAGAAAAATAGAAAATTGTCTTTCTGAGATTTCTTATGAGCCATTTTGATAATCTGAAAAAAGAAACACATCAAGCCTTCAGTTGTTTAAGATATTTTGTTTGACAGGAAATTATTAATTTTTTTGTCTAACCAATGCAAGAACTAATGATGTAATAATGTACATTGCCTTTTTATTCTAGCTTGGAAAGAAAGTAGGTGGACTGACAGTCATTTTTGACATGGCTGGAGTTACAACAAAATGGTTGTGGAAGCCAGGTAAAATTATCTTTCATATACCTTTATTTTTTTAAAAAAGGAGTTCTTTTGGCATTTGTAATTGTAGTATTGGAATTTTAAAAGGGTGGTATATAGCTTTAGATACAATTTTGTGAATATGGCTTTTACCACTTATGCTATAAACTGGTTTGAAGTATTTATCGTTAAATATATGCTCTTTAATTTTTAGGATTAGACATGTATCTCCATTTGGTAAAAGTTCTGGAAGACAACTACCCAGAGATGATGAAACGGCTCATTGTAATCAATGGTGATTTTCAATTTTCTGATACAGTATTTTCTATCAATATTATTAATTTAGCTATGATATCACTTTCTGATTTCATCATAAATATGTGTTTACTCAGTATTTGGCTGTTTTTTATGTATGTACATGTATAATTCTATTACTTCCCAGTGACATAAGAGGTATGTGAATGGGTAATCCTGATGTAGATCATATAACATTTAAAGGTTCTTCATATCAGCACACTTTACTTCAATGTAGGCTAATGTATAAAATGTAGCTGGCCTAAGATAACTTTCTCTCACTGAATTGATTTTAAATTACACTGTGGTCTCTGTTAAAAGGTATACAATGTGTATTTAAGCCGTCAACATGAATCCAAAGTATTGTGTAGATTGTTAATTGTTATTTAAAGTTAAATAGAAATGCCAAAGTGTGTTTATTAACTTGGTTTACATGAAGATGAATTTTAAAGCATACGTGCATAGTATGAGAAATTCTAATTAATAGGGATCTACCGTATCAGATTAGTATAAGAAAGTGTGTCAATTGCCAGCAACAGCTTGACTTTTTTTCTTCTGTACCTATTACAGCTCCCTTTAAGTAAAAGATGAAATGTTTTTTGAAAATATCTTTAGTTTGATGTACTAATGATTTTATTTAAGCTCCATCAATTTTCCCCATCTTGTACAAACTGGCCCGCCCACTTATCAGTGACGACATGAAGAAAAAGATTATAGTTCTAGGATGTGAGTATGTTTAGATTTAAATATTGAGTTTTCAATACAGAAATAGTACTTGAAGTTTAAAGAAATTGTGTCATTTTGTAGTTTTTGTAGACTGATTGATCACAGTATAACAAATTCTGTTATTCTCAAACAAGATTTCTTACATCTTGATTTGTATTTTTTAAAATTCTTTTTACAATTTTATATGACAGTAGCAAAGACACTTCAATTATACATTTTCCACTTCAATTATACATTTTCCAGCCAATTTTACTCAAGTTCTCCTACAGTATGTTGATGCAGAACAATTACCAGTATATTTGGGGGGTAAACTTACAGACCCTGATGGCAACCCTAGGTGTACAACAATGGTATTATTTTCTTTTATTTCACGGAGCGCGCGTGCGTGTGTGTGTATGTGTGTGTGTGAGAGAGAGAGAGAGAGAGATTCTTACCTTGTGCAATCTTTCAAACAAATCAAGATGTGCAAATTTCAATTTCAGTTGTATTTTAAAGATATGACAGTTATATATATTATTGATTTGATTGCTAACAACACAAAAGTGGTGTAACTTCGATTACTCATTGTCTTGAAATGTATGTCTATTGTTTGTCCAATGTTTCAGATTTGTCAGGGTGGGCAAGTACCAGAGTCTTATTTCTTAAAGAACCACAGTCTTGGGGAGAATATGACAGCAGCTACTGTTTCCAAGAAATTGGAGTTAAAATTTGAGGTTCAGAAATCAGGAATGATTCTGAGGTACATGTATGCCGTTTCTTGTTGACCTTCTATTTTGTGGATCAGAATTTTTTTGAATGATTTTATAATTGTCAACATAATTTTATCCTTACCAGTACATTAACTTCTGTGTATTATTCTTGAATCTCCAAACTTATAGGTCAGCCATTCTGGACTTTTGTTAATTATATGGGCCTAAATATATAACTTTGGTATTAAAAGAAATTGTAAGGAAAAAGTAAAATTTGACAATCTTTTTTGTATAAAGAGTATTTGAATTGCTGTTATATTGTTAAGAATAAGCTTGTTATATCTGGTAAAAGATGACAAATATCAATTTAAAGATGACAGTAATGATTTCACTCCCCTTTTGCTCCTGTAGGTGGGAGTTTCAGACGGAGGGCTATGACATTGGTTTTGGTGTAGGATTCCTGGAGAACGATGGTTCCGTGAAATTTGTGCTCCCAGTGGAGAGGGTGAACAGCCACATGGTTCCTGAGGATGGGAGCATCAACTGCACAGAACAAGGAACATGTAGGAAACATTTTTTATGTCTCTCTTAACCTCTTACTCACCAGATAAAATTGTTCAAAAAAGTTCTTTTTCATTATCTTAATTCATTGACCAATTTTACATGATATGGTTTGAAATTGTGATTTTTGCTTGATATCACAATCCTTTGGTTCTTTAGTTAAAAGATAACAGTGATAACAATTTCATTTTATCTGTTTCAGATGTACTGGTATTTGATAACTCCTTCAGTTGGGCAAGAAGCAAGAAAGTTTCCTATCAGGTAGAAGTTATCGAAGAAGATAAGAATATTCTTGAAGAAGTGGAAAATATTGGATATGTTACTGACAAATTGGAAGCTGCTCATATCTGAATAACATTCTTTTAAAGGAATCCCTGGACTAATTTCAATGATCATTAATAATAGGTACATTAATATGGATTGAAGTCCAAATTTTAACCAATGCAGGTATTGACATAAACATTTAACAGTGATGTGTAAAAATTGTAAAGCTATTTAATCATTGACAGTCATGTTTTAATTATAATTGTACATGCACAGGTTGAAAAGGGATTAGAATATGCTACTCTTGCCAATTCTCTTACTTTCTTTTCCTCTGAGGACCACAACATTGGGATAGCCTTAGCAATAAAATACATTGGCATAAGATTTGCCAGGTTTAGTTCTGATGTACTCTAGATTTCTGTATTGCTAGCTCAATCTTGATTTCATATATAACCCAAATCAGCAATATTGTAAAGCTGTAAAGCGCTAACTGTAAAGCTGTAAAGCTAACACATGAAAAGGTATAGTGAGAAGCTAGCTTTATAGTGCCCTGACACTCAGGGCAGTCTGATGTATTTTGTTGTGAATGTGAAAATGAGGACTCATGTACATGTGTATAATGTTCAACATTTCACCAATCAAGCATTTTATGGACAAACCCAGTGTGCCAGTTACATTGTCTGAATGTCCACGTTAACAGTAATACATAGTTAAAATTTGGTAGTGATTATGATATAAAGCATTATGTAACATTACACCCAAGAAACCACTCTTGTGCATTTTCCTGTTCCATAGTCTTTAAACACTTATTTTTTGATATTCAAAAATATACGATCAAATATTTTAATGTCTCTGCTCCTATCAGTATTGTAATTTGTACATCCTTTGCTTGTTTATCAATATTTGTGATAATGTAAATAATAGAGCATCATAGAGAATAGTAAATTTGCTGTTGCCTTAGTTGCTTTAATTAGAATGGCACTATATAAATTAAGTATAAATTTGGTTAATTGTTATCAGTGTGTATAGCTGAAACTGACTGTAACCCTGACAACAGAATAATTGGCTTTTTTATATTTATAGCTTAATCTTAAAATCAATATTCAATCAACATACATGTGTTCCTTTACATAAATACAGTGGCATGTGGTTTCATTATTTATCACTTTCAGATGAATAAACGATGATATGTAATATAAAATAAAATTGTCACTGAACAATTAAATTGAGCATGACGAGACAAATTACCTCCCTCCCCCCCTCCCCCCAGTGTACAGGTACGTACTTATATAGGTACTCTAGATATATTGATACATTACATTTACCAACAACAAATGAACAGGAAAAACACACGAGAAAAAAACATATAGATAAGAAAGTTTTTATGTTACATATCACAGAAAAGCAGCACTATCGAATAAACTTATTTATTTATTTTTATTTATTTATTTTTTTTTTGGGGGGGGGGGGACGGCGAAGGGGCTGCTCAAAACAATGAAACCACAATTTTTTTGTTATATTTTCTACATCATCCAGCTTTTTATCGTGTTATAATGTTTTGTAACTGTTCCAAATCCTTAGAACAAGTATATTTTTAATATTAAAGATATATGATAAAAATTTGAAAATCTTTTGAAATAAAAGAGAAATAAGAATATGACGGAAGGGCGAAGAAACATTCAAAGTTTCCCCCTTTCTCTAGATATTCAAAGATTCAGCAAAGAAGGAATATAAAAACAAGAAACAAAAAATGAAAAGAAACAGTTAAAATACAAATAAAGCCATTTCACGCCCTATATTTCTCGACCTACAATCTCTCTCACGCGCGCTCACACACACACACACACACACACACACACACGTAGACGTTGGCGCAGAGAAGATTCTCGTATATTCAAAGACGAAATAATATGAGAAATTTCTATTAGATATTGACTTTATTCTCAAAAGAATTAAAGAGCAAGTGTTCATGTTACGCAGATTGTTGTCGTCACCGTGAAGGGAATTGACCGCATTATAAAACACATCTAGATATAACTTGTACAACATTATTTTATTATTCGCATGAAATCACCAGTTCAGTCATTATTTTGTCTATTCGTCGAAAAGGGATGCCATTTATATTCATAGTCTAAGAACTACTTTCCACTTGTATTCTTTATATTAAGTACTACCAGTTTTGTATGGTTTCACAACCGTGCACAGAGTATGTTGGATCAGAGCTCTCTATATTTGAGCAATAATCAAAAACCTTCCAGCCAGTGACAGTACAGTTTGGACGCTGAGACGAACGAAGTTGTTTCCAATATCGCCAACGTAAGTTTGAAGCAGCATGGTGAATTGTGATATATCCATCGTATAGGCAATAGCTGTAATGATCACCCATACGGAAGTCTGGCAAATCATGGTTATGGCTGAGTGTTAAATTAGCTTTTCTCGCACATATTCCCATGAAAACATCTTCGAATTTAAATAAGGGTGTTTCCATAGCAGCTGAATAAAGTTCTTTCACGGTGCTGTGCCCCAAGACATAAGCCGCTCCTGAAATATACGGTGGAAAATGCTTTTCAGGCCATTCATCATAGCTTGTGTACCACTTATGGTGTTTAGATCTAAAAGGTGGTTTGTTTACCAGCAAAGTTCCCATGTGCAGTCTTGGCACTTGCTTCCACGGCAAACTATACAGATATTCGGAAAGTTTTTCGTAGCTGACAATCATATCGTCATCTGATTTCAAGAGGTAAAGAGCTTTTGGGCAGTACTGTAGCGTCCAACGTAAGGCTAAGATCGTTTTTAGTGTCAAATTAAGATATCTGTCTTCAAAGTCGGCTTGAATAATGTCTTCGTACTTGTCGTTTTCGGCCTTCAATTTGTATTGCATTGTGGAGTTTGGACCTCTTCCTGTAAGAAACAATGTACGGATTTGTTCGTCTTTGAATTGCGTTCTGGAACCCCACGTTTGACGGAACTGTAAACGCTGCACGAAATTCTGAGGTGTCGTCACTACAATAACCAGTAAAAATACCCCATCGTGAAGGCGGCCCGTCGTGTGGCAAACTTCAGGATTGTTTATAGTAAAGTTATAACTTTCTCTGTGAAGGAATTCCTTTGTGTGTTTCCACTCATGACTTAAAACGCGTCTAATTCCCACATCGGTTCCCATCCTCAGATGCTCTGGGCTTGGCTTTACTCTTTGCGAAAGCTCGCTTTTCCCATCTTGATTTCGACAAATCGCCAGGTTAGTTATAATGACAATGACAAAAGGTAACAAAATCGTCACGTAACAAATGTTTTTTAGCTGCCCGCTCCTCATCCTGTGAATGGAATGGCTTTCGTGGAAAAGATCTTTTGGGCTATATATAAGGATTGCAACCTTATTGTGTAACCTAAATTGTCCACGCCGTGATATATGCTTTGGTGTTTACACTGCTTTTTTGTTTTTTAATGACAATTAATGCTTAAAAAACACGACAGTAAGGACTCCGTGTATGCTGTGAGAGGGGAGCAGAATTTTTTATTAAAAACTTAAGATTTTATAGTTGTAAAAACACCGATCACGCACAGAGCCCAATAATGACGAAAGATGTAATTATTTTCGGTAGAAACCCATCAGTGTGCGTGAAAACGTATTGAATCAGCTTAACAACACTGTATTTAAACAGCAGTTCAAACAAGACATTGTGACTAGACGAGATTTATTCTTTTTATTCCTGTTTAGTTTTCCCGACAAGCGGCCCTAAGACATCAAACGATTTGGTACACTTGTACTAGTACTGGGTACATGAAAAGTGCATTTGTCTGCTTCAGAATGCCTTTTCTTTTGGGAACGGACTGGAAAATTAGGAAAGCGAGGTTCCATTTTTTATTATTTGAATCGTTTATTTGTTTACAATCAAGCTTATGACAGGAATGAAAAAAAAGACAAAATAGAACGTCACTGGTATAACAATAATTCTAAGTAGTGCTTACAGTTGTTACAATCTTTTTCAGCTCTCTACTCCTCGTCTTTTTTGGGGAAGTACTATTTATCATTTAAGATTTACAAGTTTGTATGAGGATTTTAAGTGTTTTTATCAGGATAAATTTTCCCGTATGTGACCAGCGCGTATGTGGTAACACATTTTTTTTTTTTTTGCCGAAAATCAAGGCAGATACCTAATGTATATGTTAAGAAACTTTTGCCTTGTGAATGAAATTCAACAATTCGAAATCACGCACAGAGACTTATAATGACCACATGTACTGTATGTTTGAACAGCAAGTCAAACAATGGATGGGGAGATTTTCGATTCACTTTTAGTTATTCTCCCCCTCGAGTTAAGGCAGTTTTGAATGCTGAGGCTCCAGTACGTCTTCTATCCTTATGGGATGGAAGGGTGAATAGATCTCCCATTTCGGTCTTGGAAAAGGGGTGGCGGACTGGGGTTCACCTATTTGCCCTTTTCTTATAGTCAACCAAATTAGGGATTTCCGCGTTTCTACCGGTAGGAGTCGAGAGCTCTGTTTTTAAAAGGATCATCAGGAATTGATTCTTATGACTATTCTTTGATATTTGATTATGCAAAAGTTCGTGTTGTCGACGTGTTTCAATCTTGACAGTCTTTGTGGCTGGGAAACGAAAGTGATATTTGTTCAGCGGTATACCTGTATAAACCTCCGCACTGATCAAATGTAATCGGTTATTGTTGACTCTTTTTATCAATATCGGGATTAGTTCGAGATGAAATATATTCTACTTCAATCTATGACTCTTTTCCCATAAAATATTATTATTATTATTATTATTATTATTATTATTATTATTATTGAGATATCAAGAACAGAAAATAGAGATTGAAATACACTTTGTGTATGAGGCAGTCAATGAAAAAATTTATCAATATTTTCACCCTACAACTTTAGCCGTCGTCAAACTAGCCTTCTTTAAATTGGCTCAGCTTTAAATTTAAGCAAGAGATCTATAACTAATATATAACATGCATCCTTACAATACCTATCAACTTAACTTTTTTCTTTTTTAAACAAATTTTAATCTTGACAACTTACTGAGGGAAACGTGCTGAAAACGATATTCTATCAAATTGTTCGGGTTTTAAACTTCCTTGAAACGTACAGGGTATACAAATATCCCAGGCCAAATTAGGGATTTAACCCGAACTAACAGATTTACAAACACGGGCATAAAACTGATAACGTGAGAGAGATTAAGATAAAATTTACGGTTTTTAATCTGAATCAAGTGGCGGATGAAAAATGAGCCTTATAAAAACATATCGCTTCCCCCCAAAGGCTTCGTACCAACGTTTTAATTCCATCTTGAACTGCTCTGCATCGTGTACGTTTTTAACTGGCACATACTAATAAAATAAATCATTGACATGAAAAATGAAAAAATAAAAAAAGAAAACAAATGACAATCAAAAGATCTTTACTGAAAGAAAAGAATCCATAATCAATGTCACATAATAATAAAATAAATCATTGACATGAAAAACGACAAAAATTAAAAATGAAAACAAATGAGAATCAAAAGATCTTTACTGAAAGAAGAAAATCTATAATCAATGTCGTCCTCAATTTTCTCAATCGATAACAACGTTTTAAAAGCGTTCTTGCTTTATAATTTCACCCGAATTGTACGCTTATCAGATCAAAACATTTAACTACGTCGTCATGATATTCATCCATCAGTTGACCATGTTGATGTGGGCATGTATAAACACGGTACGGCGTCTCCATATCCGCCGTCATCATTTTCTAATTACTGACTATTTGAAATATTCGACCACTGCGAGCGTGTCCAAGTATAAGAGCAAAAGCGGCGACGTTAACAGAAGCTAATCGGAATTTCCTAAGGTCGACCCTATCCAATACTTTTGTAAAAGAAATTAATTATGGTGTAGTTTATCCTCAAATTATGAAAACTTCGCATGAAATTTAGTTTTGGTATCTGGCTACTGAAGCACATAGTTGCTTAGTTGACGGGGTTAAACTTGCGTCATGTTAGATGTATTAGTGTAAGTTTGTCGTTGGAACAGGTGCCTTATCCTAACAGCGCGATACTGTTGATTTGTGCTGGGTATAGTATACGCGTAATTACATCACTGTACTGAAAATATCAAAAGATAAAGTAGGCGGTCTATTAATTACGAAATGCTCGGATTTCGATAGAGCTTTCGATTATTTTATGATATACCTGTTAACTGCAAATTTTACGTTCATAAAACGTAATTTGCTGGATACATTTTAAAGTAAAAAAAAACTTTTTAAACTCATGCCACACTTCCGTCAAAAGCAAAATCTAAAAACAATGTAAATCGGTGGCAATATATTCCTATGCTTGCGAAGGCTCCGTTCTCTCTCATGCTGACCGTTATGCAATAGATTCACACACAGCTTAAAACAATATGAAATGAAAACGTGCCTTATCTGTGGATAAAATGTTCAACTCCAAATTAAATTTTTTTCCGTTTTAAAATTTATATAAAATAATAATAACATGTTTAATTATACTCATTAATAATGCACATTGAGTTTGATTGTGTATACATGTAGCTTGGACGAATAAAACATATTTGTTTTTGATCGTTATCAGCACCACTAAACTTGATTTTTTTTATTAGACTCAGCGTTGCTTGCATGTTGCGTGCGCAAATTTAACATTCAAACTTTCCAGATGCGATTCAATCGAACGTCAACAGCGGACGCAGAAGAGGTGTTTTTCTATATAGTCCTTGAAAAAATCGTCGCCACCTTTAACTCATTGAGTGCTGTTGATAAAAAATGATAATCAATCCAGTCAAAGAGTCATTTATTAATATTTAGACAAATGACAGGATGTTTCGTGCATCGTTTTAAAAGCTAAACTATAGTTAACAAAAAAGAACCTGACACAACGAGGATCGTACGATCTAGGAAATTTAATATACCATAGAATGTAATTGCATAGAATCCCCATTGGACTTGTTCTTTCGATATGCAAATTGAAATGAGTGAAAGAAATTCGTTAAATTTGTCAAGTACTTTCAGGCATATGGGAGTAAAACCCACAAATCTAGAGCCACCGAGGCAAGTGTGTGTTTGGAATCAGATTGCTTGAAATTTTTCGGTACTCGACTAGAATGTGAAGACCTATTATAAACATTCCTCAGGACATCAGAGTGTTTCTCGGCACAACAATTTTATAAATCAGAAGTGATCCATACGGTACAGAAGTATTTTCACTGTATGATCGCCACTCTAGTTGTTTATTTGTTTTTTTATAAAATTAATGACGTATGAAAAAACCTTAACAGTACATTGATGTAGAATATTGGGTACTATTAATCACCAGTTTTGTATGGTTTCACAGCCATGCACAGCGTATGTTGGATCAAAGTCGTCTACATCTGAGCAATAATCAAAAACCTCCCATCCAGTGACAGTACAGTTTGGACGCTGAGATGAACGAAGTTCTTTCCAATATCGCCAGCGCAAGTTTGAAGCAGCGTGGTGAATTGTGATATATCCATCGTATAGACAATAGCTGTAATGATCACCCATACGGAAGTCTGGCAAATCATGGTTATGGCTGAGTGTTAAATAAGCTTTTCTCGCGCATATTCCCATGAAAACGTCCTCGAATTTAAAGAAGGGTGTTTCCATGGCGGCTGAATAAAGTTCTTTCACGGTGCTGTGCCCCAAGACATAAGCCGGTCCTGAAATATACGGTGGAAAATGCTTTTCAGGCCATTCGTCATAGCTTGTGTACCACTTATGGTGTTTAGATCTAAAAGGTGGTTTGTTTACCAACAAAGTTCCCATGTACAGTCTTGGCACTCGCTTCCACGGCAAACTATACAGATATTCGGAAAGTTTCTCGTAGCTTACAATCATATCGTCATCTGATTTCAAGAAGTATAGAGCTTTTGGGCAGTGCTGTAGCGTCCAACGTAAGGCTAAGATCGTTTTTAGTGTCAAATTTAGGTAACTGTCTTCAAAGTCGGCTTGAATAATGTCTCCGTGCTTGTCGTTTTCGGCCTTCAATTTGTATTGCATTGTGGAATTTGGAGTTCTTCCTGTTAGAAACAATGTACGGATTTGTTCGTCTTTGAACTGCGTTCTGGAACCCCACGTTTGACGGAACTGTAAACGCTGCACGAAATTCTGAGGTGTCGTCACTACAATAACCAGTAAAAATACCCCATCGTGAAGACGGCCCGTCGTGTGGCAAACTTCAGGATTGTTTATAGTAAAGTTATAACTTTCTTTATGAAGAAATTCCTTTGTGTGTTTCCATTCATGACTTAAAACGTGTCTACCCACCGCATCGGTTTTATCAATTAGATGCTCGTCACCCGACTTTACCCGAGTGACAGATTCACTATTCCTTCCATGGCAGCGTGAACGCGTTAGTTCAACTATAACGAATATGACAAGAGGTATCAAAATCATCACGTACAAAACACCTTTAACACGTCTGCCTCTCATGCTGCCTTCGAAGTCCCCTTCTTTATCAACAGCTCATGTCATATTTATAAGGATACATTGTCCTGTCGATGACGTGTTCATATTCATGTTGAAGCAGCTGTTGTATTGATAGCTATCTCCCCACGTGGGGGTGTATGACACTAGTATGGTAAGAAGGGCAGGGAGATTATGATTGGAAAGGATCAAATGTTGATAAGACGGACGCTCGTCAATAGTGACACATAAGAATTCATCACTGACGGGGAAATTAGTGGCTGAGCAGAACCCTACAATCTTGGAAAAAGGGACAGAAATGAACCGAGTGATTTAAAACAATGGCTTACCAGCAACAGTCCGTTACCAGACACAGACCAGAGGACTTGCTAGTTATTGCTAAATTAAAATGTTGGGTTGTCTTTCTTTTTCAAGCCTGGGAAACATTATGCAGCATGCTGTATCCGAAAAACATTTCGTATCATCATTTATCATATCAACTTTCTTTTTTTTTTTTTTTTGGGGGGGGGGGGGGAGGGGGGCCAAATATAGATATATGGCAGAGTTGTTGATCTATTGAATACCCTAATTTTAGTAGGGATTATTAAGTGAACCTTCCGGTGCACACTTAAATCGGGGCTGGGCCTAATTTTAAGAACATTATTTGGGAAGGCCAAGATATGTAGCCTACATGCAGTCACTCCGTGTCCGTATTATTTTGGATGCACTGTGTGTAGAAGGGAAAACGTCAGGATTACCTACCTACGTACCTACTCAATGTATTTATGACTTGGGTGTTGACCCGCCTTGTTGAATCGAATTTTTTAGGAGGATTTTAAGGAGATTAAACGTATTTTTCTTCAAACGAGGTATGATGTTTCATCACATTAACTATTGTGTCAAGGTACTTTTATGAAGAGTCTAAACGCCATACCTGATAAACAATAACACGATAAGTCTCTTAAAAAACTATTAATCTTTTTCGCAAACGACTTCACACTTCTTTATGATATTTTGATTACAAGGCGTCATGTAGTGCAGGCAAATTGCTGTATCTTCGTCAAAACACGAATCCACCGGCGGCAAAACCCCTTAAGCTTTAGTGCAATGCAACTTACTATGTTCTACCAAAGAGACATCTATCTCTATGGTTGTAGAGTAAGCTACAGGCAGGAATCCAGCTTGATTTCCGGTTTTCTGACAATCATTTTGTGATAACGTCGATATAAGTACAAGAGGGATAAAAATAATAAAGTGACACACCAGAGATATATGTAAGTTCTGCGCGCTAACCAAACGAAGTATGAATCTTTTTATTTATTTATTTATTTATTTATTTATTTTTATCTATTTATGTATTTATTTGGATTAAGTAATCGATATATTCATTGTTCATTATTTGTTTGTAGGTTCGGACCTTTATTAAATCTAATTCTATCTAATGTATTCAACATCAATGTGCTTCGCCTCTTAATTTCAATAACTAGTTAACTTAGGTAATCACTAGCTACGAGTTAAACGGCCTTTTGGTGATACTTAAACAACAATAGTTAAAGGAAAAATTTTCAAAAATCTGGCTATGAAAATATAGAAAATAGAAAGTATACCATAATGATACGCGACCCATTCATTATTTTTATACGCTGTGCTATCATATGAAAACCCCGGTGCCAGCAGCAATAATGCAAGTAGGGGAGACCGGGGCTAGTTGGCCCAGTTAGACACTTTTGGCCTTGTAGAGCCAACTAGGAGTGGGTTAGAGTAACAAAACCGNGGGGCTAATTTTAAGAACACTATTTGGGAAGGCCAAGATATGTACATGCAGTCACTCCGTGTCCGTATTATTTTGGATGCACTGTATGTAGAAGGGAAAACGTCAGGATTACCTACCTACGTACCTACTCAATGTACTTATGACTTGGGTGTTGACCCGCCTTGTTGAATCGAATTTTTAGGAGGATTTTAAGGAGATTAAACGTATTTTTCTTCAAACGAGGTATGATGTTTCATCACATTAACTATTGTGTCAAGGTACTTTTATGAAGAGTCTAAACGCCATACCTGATAAACAATAACACGATAAGTCTCTTAAAAAACTATTAATCTTTTTCGCAAACGACTTCACACTTCTTTATGATATTTTGATTACAAGGCGTCATGTAGTGCAGGCAAATTGCTGTATCTTCGTCAAAACACGAATCCACCGGCGGCAAAACCCCTTAAGCTTTAGTGCAATGCAACGTACTATGTTCTACCAAAGAGACATCTATCTCTATGGTTGTAGAGTAAGCTACAGGCAGGAATCCAGCTTGATTTCCGGTTTTCTGACAATCATTTTGTGATAACGTCGATATAAGTACAAGAGGGATAAAAATAATAAAGTGACACACCAGAGATATATGTAAGTTCTGCGCGCTAACCAAACGAAGTATGAATCTTTTTATTTATTTATTTATTTATTTATTTATTTATTTATTTTGATCTATTTATGTATTTATTTGGATTAAGTATTCGATATATTCATTGATCATTATTTTTTTGTAGGTTCGGACCTTTATTAAATCTAATTCTATCTAATGTATTCAATATCAATGTACTTCGCCTCTTCGTTTCAATGTCAAGAGTTTTCTTAGTTACTCTTTAGCTATAAGCTAAATGGCCCTTTGATACTTATACAACAATAGATAAAGGAAAAAATTTTAAGAATCTGGCGATGAAAATATAGAAAATAGAAAGTATACTATAATGATACGAGACCCATTCATTTTTTTTCATACGCTGAGCTATCATACATGTTAAAAACCCCGGTGCCAGCAGCAATAATGCAAGTACATAAAAAAATGTCGATTCAGTCAATCTCCGCAGTCTCTTCTATATATAACGTGACAGCCATGTGAAAAGCAATGCAATGCATGCCCAGCATAGAAAATACGCTTCATATATCGTTCGTATCGTAAGACGTACAGATAATTCTGATTTTATGTATGAAGACCAATAAAAGCATACATGCACATTAAGTGTCTGTAAAGGCTTTGCTATGACACTGTGTGTTAATGGTATTCCAAACTGTACCAAAGTCATTTTTTGTCTACATATCCTGCAAAGCTACTCATCTCTCACAATTCAGATCTTTAAAATTATAAACCCCTCAAATAAAAGTACCTGTATTCAATATTCTGATACAGGAAGACATGATGGTATAAACTATTTTAAGGGAAATTCGATTTGGTGGGGAAATCCCGTACAGGATACCTTTAAGTGTACTGTCATGTTCCGTATTGTGCCGTTTAATGGGTTGTGTTACGAGCTTTCTAGGCGAGTGTAAACTGGGGATCCAGTGAGGACACACGATAGCAAGTAAGCTGTATTTGATGTAATCAAGGAGTTATAACTCCTTGATGAAATTAGCTTCAATGTTAGTGTATTTGCTTCTAATTTCCGTACTATGTGCAGATCATCATAACGATAGAAAAAAGGGAAATTCCCACACTCCAGCCGATACTGTCCTGGGCACTGTTATGACTCTTAACAGGTTCGTGTGCAAGTGAGGCTCTGCTGACATACCTATGACATCAAGCATTTTGGATTAATCCATTTATTATAGCGTTTAAAATGCACTTTACACTTAAAGCATAAGGATATTGATAATGCTGGAACTGTCAACTGATATATTTGAAAAACAAAAGGAAAAAAGGTAAGCTGTATAATTAAGCATTAATGTCTGAATAACAATGTTAAGGTCACTGCCCAATGTGGTTTGACCACAGTAGTATGGCTACAGCAAAATGTCACGACATAGAGATTAAAGAACATGTAAACTGGAAGCCCAAACTAAATAACATTAAGGTCATACGCGATATGTACCTGTAAACTACAGCTGAAATTAAGCCTCCAGTTTTGACCTGAAAGTCCTTTGAATTACCATCGGCAATGAATTGCCCGTGGCGACTTCGAGAACTAGTGTTGATTCGTAATGTTTTACCTATTTTTGTTGTGCCCTTTGCTGCGTGTCCCACCTAGAAACTCTTGGCTTTGAAGAGACAAAGGCAAAACCAAATTAAACTGGAGACATGTTGAATATGTAGTAGAAGTACTTTAAAGTTTCACGAAAAGAAGTTAACTTCTGAAAACGTGTATAATAAATGAAGAGAAAATTTTTGTGATAACTCCAGCATATCACAGGGTTATTAGACATATTACTAACACGTTGAAAACGACAAATCTTTGAACTCTATTAAAATAATTTTTCAAAAGCCATAAATATGATTTTTTTTAAATATCATGAATTGTTGGAGACAGCAATAGTAGTAGTAGTCATACCTGTCTTAAAGGTACGTTTTGGGGTGGTGCTTATTTCAAACAAACCAAATTTCATTTTAAACCATGCAAAATTATCCCAATCAAGCATTGGGCATTTAAAACTTTTTGCTCGTTTCAAATCACTCCAAAACTGTTGTCTTACATTCTCGGGGACGTCGTGGATTGTTAACATGTGTTGGTAAGCACAAAAACTGTATTCATCCCCAGGCCATATCGCTGGTATGAAGCGTTTGTCATTCTCTGGCGTAACCCCGGCTTTTTCTGCTGCAATCCCCAAGAAAGCGTCTTCCATGGAAAGATACGGCAACGTGAAAGCAGCGGACAACAATTTCCGAGCGGTTGGCATGGCCATAATGTAGCTCGGGCCGTTCACATACGGTGGAAACTTCGATCCGGCGTATTCATTTTCACTAACATGCCATTTACTAGAGTTATCTCGAATTGGAGCTCTGTCTTTGACAACAAACCCCATAAAACAGTCCGATGTATTTTTCACCGCAATCCGTGCGAGAAGTGTTCGCACTACTAGTTTATACTGCATTATGATGTCGTCGTCAGCTTTCATGATAAATTTGGCTTTGTCGCAATAAGTAAGCGCCCAACGCATAGCGGATAATGTTTTTAATGTAAGATTCCTATATGTGTCATTGAAATCAATTTTTAAGATATCCCGAAAGATTTCAGCTTCCAACATATTCCTTTCTTGTTGTTTATGATCAGAACTTTGTCCTAACACAAATACCGTGCTAATACGCTCCCCTAGCGCCTGACTTATACTGCCCCACGTTTTTCGCAGCTGAAGGCGTCTTTCGAAATTCTCTGGAGCAGACGGAACCATAACAAGAAGAAACACACTATTATTGAAAATGTCGTTATGACAAAAATAACGAGGATTAATAATGTAGTTGTACCTATGTACGTGCAATTTTGATTTGTCAGCTCTATTCCTTCTTGTTACTTTGTTTCTCCCACTCATCCGCGATATTTTTTCAGATTTTTCTATTTTCGTCCCTGAGATTGATTTCACGTCAGATAGTCCTTGCTCTTTGGTAAAATGCATATTTGCTTTTGCTGTTCGTGTGCTTTGCTCTGTTTTCTTTGTTTCTCTTGATGTGGTTTCGGCTAGATCACGTTCATTAATATCATAACCACTTGTTGCATCTCTCCAAGTTGTGCAGGGAGTTATCCTCAACAACAGGCAGGCTGTGTACACTGCGAGAGTTAAAAAAATAACAGGAAACGCAAACTTTCTCGACAGCGATATGTTAAATCTTTCCATTTTTTCTCCAGTCCTTTTAATTGTCAACGTTCTGCAGTAGGCTGTGTCGTCGCGCACCGTCAGGACGTGAGTGTAATTAATACAGACAGTGACAACCACATTACACACTTGGTCCCGCAGCACCACACGCTCCACGCAAATTAATGCACTTGTTTGCTGATTTTGTTCGCACACCTGCACGCGCTGTTCAAACTAACTCCGCGGGTTTTACCTTACTTTCACCTGGGCGATCCCTTCTTTATCATTTATAATGCCGGAGTTTAAATGCGAGATTTGATGTGAATGTTTTGCATTGAAAGGAATGGAAATATTCAGCAGAGGTGCCTACTTTTTCGAAGCGTGCTTTTGGCCAAATATTTGCTCCCCCTCAGAGACACGTTCCATCCTTGCTGTTTCTGTGTGTTTTCTGTATGTATTTGCTTTTTCGTGAGATGGCATAATAAATAAGAGATTATTATTAACTGATAGCATTTGGGTCATTTTAGGAAGAGTAAAGAGGCTTCGACTATTTTAAAACTAATTAATATTTGTAATGCAAATAAGCAAATGCCTGCGGTTTCATTATATTCAGTTAAGAACAAAATCATTAAACCGTAAGTCCCATCCTTGCGCCCGACGTGCTGAAATCTAACCAATAACAAAATACCCCGAGATTCCGCCACATGCCAAATGTGATCCGTTATTTTTCATTTTATCATAATCATGTCAAAATCGGAGTGGCACTTAAAACAACCTTATCACAGGTATGTTTTTTATACACTTCAGAAACCAGGCAACTTTGAGTGGTGTTTTTATTTTAAAAATGGATATCATTATCCAGGGGCTTTGCAAATACGAGATATCTAAACATTCATTACACAGCTCTTAAGTTACCGTTGCAAAAAAGTCGAAATACACATTACTCTTAATATCCAATTGACAATTAATATTACTGCTTGTCTACCGCGGGTAATGGGTCTGTAGAAAGATAAGCAACAGAGCATTATCCACAGCCCTTGTCTGAAAAATGTACTGTGGCTCTATAAGAAGAAAAACATGTTTTGCATAACGTTTATATCTTAATAAAGGGAGCCTTGAATCCAATTCATCGCACCGCAGATGTTTAAAATCACTCCATTTAGTCATTTTTATTGTTCATTAATTCGGTTTGGTTATACATTATGCCCTTAGATGTAACAAACTGGATTTATTTCACCATGATATAAGTCGCAACACGAAATTTCAGTGCAAAGTGCATTCTTTTATATCGTTAACCTTTTACTGAAAGCACATAATGATGCCAAACAGTGATCATCATTATTCACAGTCAGCGGTACCTTTCGGTCGTAAACTGTTGTTTAACACCTTTAAGACTGGGTTCCCATACCTAGATCGAGCTAACAGGATCGATACATCTCCGAGGGGGTAATTCGATATCGTTTAGCAGCTTCAGTAGGCGTGCCAGACATCTAAGCCGCTTAAGCTCAAAGCAATCTAGCGAGAATACACCCCCCCTCCCGGAGATATATCAATCCACAGGTAGGGTCTGGGAATGGTGCCTAAGATTCACTAAATTCCAAAGCCCACGTTTGCCACTAAAATGCAGTTCGAATGTAGTTCTATTTGAATCGGATATGAGGGTTGCGTCTTAGCTTCTGAAACAAAAATAAAACAGAAACAGCCATCGGATCATTCTCAAACCAAGTACATATACCCTAAAAAGCTGGGACACATCCTCTCGTTGTTCATTTATAAATACCAGAAACAGGCCTGTAAGCCTTTGTCCAGCGCAAAGGAATAATAAACATTCGAGCGCCAATCGAGCTTAATTAAACTGGGACCAGAGATCAAAGTTAATTTTTCTGTTACAGAGAAAATACTAGTTGAACATATGCAACTCAATATGCGTCTCACAACAAATCAACATGCATTCAATATGCATAAGTTAAAACATCAAGAAATGGTTATATAAAAATGTATTATTTATCATTATAGATTTCTCAAGGTTATTGAATCCATTTATTTTAAAATCATGTATGTCGTGAATTTTTTCATACCAGCTTGTAAACAATATGAAAATAAAGAATAAATTAAATTTTCGGTAAAAGACCTAAACACAAAGGGATATCGGTCATGTACACATTAAATTACATTAATGGAAAAGAAATTATATTTCCATAAAAAATAAATCTTGATATATAACGGTTTAAGTGCCCATTGTGTGTCTATAAATGCTTAAAACGACCACGACGTGTGGCATGAACAAGCCATTTAAGGGTGTAAATCCCTATACTTTGAACAACAGTGCTATATGTGCACAATTGTACAAATGTAAATTTACTTAATAATGCTGGTAGGCCTATCACTTAATAATGTTAAATTTTAAATATTAGAACTGGCAATCTAAGGCTCACATGGTGTGTTTGTTGAACTATGTTTGCACTACGCGTGTTGATGTCAGTCCAAACAGGTTTGTTCAGTGTTTAATTACTGCATGAAATAAAAAGAACTGAATATAAACCTTGAAAGGTATAATTTGAACAAGTTTTGTGTGTCCTGAAAAACCCAAAAGCCATTGATTGGCTTATCATAATTAATTTGCCAAAATGAAGGACTTTCTCTTTGGTCTGTGCTCCGCTCCGTAGGCCTACCATAGAACTACATAAAAACATTGCAATGCGTCTAATGTTAGGTTACAGCGAACAAATTCTGTTGACGATAAGCGGTTTTAAAAAAAGGAATCCCCTGTGCTCTCGGTCCAGATATATCTAGGGAATCAAAGAATGAAATATGACATTTTGAAAAACTATATTTGACAGGAGAGTATTTATGCCATTCTGGCCGCTCTGTTGTACTTTGACACTGTTTACACGGGTTTACCTGCCTACCATTACTAGTTCGAATACTATGAAAGACATTAATTTATTTTATGTTTCCTCCATCCCAGTGTACCACAAACTTTCAAAGTCCCATTCATAACAACAAAGAAGGCAACAAAGAATATCGATTGTTCGAGATTTGGCCTAACAAGGCCGCTTTTATTATATAACCCCACTTCTAATCATTTAAAAAATTTTTAATAATGTAACAAATTATTGCCTGTATTTAATGTTATGGCGTTAGGGATAAAAAATATACAGTATATCAAATATTCAATAAGACTCATCATCCTAAAATTATGATGTAACGAGTAAGCAAAAGTTATTATTTACAAACAATTTTGCACAAATTCCATTTGTGGGGTTGCAAAGAGGATTTTATCTGTATTGTACCGTTTAATGGAAGTATGCCACGTGCTGTCTGGGCAATAGCAAACTTAAGTAATCTGTATTTGTAATATTGTACTTGGTGTTTTATTGGTGTCGACATATTTGCGGCTAATTTCCATAATGTCTGTGCGCATCACCCGAAGGATAGAAAAAACGGGAAGTCGTTATTATTCTCAAATATTTTACTTTTAACTGTTACCAGTGACGTTCTATATGTTGTCCCCGTTCTATAAGTTAGCGATTTTGGTACGTTTCAACCTCAGAATGTTGCAAAAAAATCAAACTAACATCATAATTTCATAGGAATGTGCAAAGTCCATGATTCAGGAGAAAGATTAGAATTGTCTATTGGCATGTCAAGCTACTGGCCGCGAAATTTATCAACAGCAGTTTGACGATATCAAATGTTCAAGACTCGGAGACCAATAATTGTTTCAAACAAATACTAAAATGAATACCATTTACACGTATAAGGGCTAATTCCCAATGAAATTTCGGTTCTACGTAGATCGATCCAACTCCGCTGAATGCAAACAGATTAACACGCCTCCTCTTGTTTACTTGTATAAACACCAGCTTTTTTTTTTTTTTTTTTGTATTCTACTTGACAACGAGAGGCTTGTTAATCTGATCGCGTTCAGCGAGAGTCCCCACGAAGTTGGACCGCTCTACGTAGAGCAATATTTTCATTGGGAATGAGCCTTATTATTATGTATCTCCAAACTACAACCTAACTAGCTACAACTGAACCAGGCCGCAGGGCATGGTTTGAGTTGGAACTCTGCGAAATGAAGCCACACGTCCAGCTACGGGTGATGAGTTGCTATCGGCGATGTTAAAAAAATCTCACACGGTACGTTTTCACCCTTGATGAAAAAAAACAGAAACTGGACGGTATTCGATAAAACGTGAACTATACATTGTGAGAAAAAATTATAGTGAAGACGAGTGTATTTCACAGCGGTCCTCTGTTTACTTTAATATGTTAAGGGAAAAATTAATAAATCATCCAATGTTTTGAGATCTAATTTGTATAACCCAAAATCGAAGAGAAATAAATCAATTTTCAAAAAGAATGATATTCATATCCATTTCAAGGAGAACATGAATTGTTGTGGAAAGCAATATCAGTATTTGCCATTGTTGCCTCATAGGCACGTTTGATGGTAACAGCTTCAAAAAAATAATAATGTGATCAAAGTTCTCCAGGGCAATATGTTACTGGTAGGCCCTATCCTTTTATAGCTATGATTAACGACCTACCGTTATATTTATGAAACTTGCGTGTTCACCAGCAAGCCTTTGACCCCATTCCCATAACCTTATCGAACTAGCAGGATTGATCTATCTCAGCGGGGATTCTCACAGTCATTGTAATTGTCTGGCACGCTCCCTCACAAAGCAACATGAACAACATCATGACCCACAAAGCTTTCCCGACTTTACCCAAGTACTTTGAGCTACGATGTGGAGTGCAAGACAATTAAGCCGCTTAAACTGAATGCGATTGATCGAGAATCCCCGAGGAGTTGGATGCAACCAGCTAGTACGACAGAGGTTTAGGAACGCCCCCTTTTGTCACCACAAGAAACAGATGACCCACAGCACTGGTCAGAATGACACTAAACATGACTAGAACAAATGCCATGGATTTCAACTCCATAGAAAATGAATAATAATAATAATAATGACGATAAAATACTACCCATTTCGGATGTTATTTTTCAATGAATTATTACCTCCGCTAAGGTTTGTTTGTTTGTCTGTCTGTCTGTCTGTCTGTCTGTCATCAACATAACTTCTAGTTATTATTACCATCATTTGGATTGCAATAGTAGCAATAGTCAAAGATATCTTAAAGGTGCGTTTGGTGGTAGCATTAATTTAGAACAATCCAAAATTAATCTTATACCATGCAAAATTATTCCAGTTAGGTTTTGGACATTTAAAACTATTCGCTCTTTTCAAGTCACTCCAAAACTGCTGTTTGATATCTTCTGGGTTGGCATGGATTGTTAACATGTGCTGGTAAGCGCAAAAATTGTACTCGTGCCCCGGCCAGAAGAAAGGAACAAAACGTCCATCATGTTCTGGCGTAACCCCGGCTTTTTCTGCTGCAATCCCCAAGAAAGCGTCTTCCATAGAAAGATACGGCAACGTGAAAGCCGCGGACAACAATTTCCGAGCGGTTGACATGGCCATAATGTAGCTCGGGCCGTTCACATACGGTGGAAATTTTGATCCAGGGTATTCATTTTCACCAACGTACCATTTATCCAAGGGGTTTCGTATTGGAGGTTTGTCTTTGAAAACAAATCCCATAAAACAGTCCGATGCATTTTTCACCGCAGTCCGTGCGAGAAGTGTTCGCACTACTAGTTTATACTGCATTATGATGTCGTCGTCTGCCTTCATGATAAATTTGGCTTTGTCGCAACAGGTAAGCGCCCAACGCATAGCGGATAATGTTTTTAATGTAAGATTCCTATATGTGTCATTAAAATCAATTTGTAAGACATCCCTAAAGATTTCAGCTTCCAACATATTCCTTTCTTGTTGTTTATGATCAGAACTTTGTCCTAACACAAATATCGTCCTGATACGCTCCCCCAGTGCTTGACTTATACTACCCCACGTTTTTCGCAGCTGAAGGCGTCTTTCGAAATTCTCTGGAGCAGACGGAACCATAACAAGAAGAAACACACTATTATTGAAAATGTCCTTATGACAAAAATAACGAGGATTGATAATATAGTTGTACCTATGTACGTGCCAATTTGACTCCTTGTTTCCCTGACTCATCTGCGAAATTTTTTTCGAGTTTTCAATTTTCGTCTTCAAGATTGAATTCACTTCAAATGGTTTTTGCTCTTTGGTTAAATGCACATTTGCTTTTGTTGTTCGTTTGCTTTGTTCTGTTTTCTTTGTTTCTCTTGAATTGTTTCTGTTGTTTCCTAACAGATCATGTCTATTAATATCTCTCCAGGTTGTGCAGGGAGCTGTCCTTAACAATAGGTAAAATGTGTACACTGCAAATATTACGAAAATAGCAGGAATCAAAAACCTTCTTGTCAGCGACATGTTAAATTTTATCCTTTTTCTCTCCAGGCCTCCATGCTCTCAGCGTTCAGTATGATGTGCCTTCGTGTAACGACAGGACGTGATTGTAATTCATACAGTGAACCACAATAAACTTAGTCACGCCAGCACTGTGCCTTACTCTTTTTTTTTTCCTTACCGGAGGGTAAGCTTAGTTGGTGCAAGGATAACCCTGTAAAAACACGTGTACATGTACATGTAACTTGCTATCTCACTTGCACTGGTTTAACTAGAACTGTTCCTTTATCTTTTTTGCTGGGGATTAAAAGTAAATCCTTGAATCATTGAACCAAGCCGAGGTGTCAACTCTGAATACGTGCCTTTCTGACCAAATATTTGCTCTTTGCAAAAACACGCCCCTTCCTTGTTGTTTCTATGTTTTTTAATGATAACATTTAAATGGGAGATCATGTAGCACTGATATCAACGGAAATGACTTTGCAAAATGTTAAGTAATGCCCATATTTTTCGAGGCTAAAACGTTTTTTCATTTAGCAAATTGAAATGATTTCAAGAGATGTAGTATAGTAAATGGTCTTAACAACTGAAAGCCTGTGCTAGACACTTAAATAAAATAATCTAATGTAGAGCAAAATGTCCAATTCTAGTGACATATATCTGAAAATAGATTATCCCTTCACATTTGATATTCATCATGTAAGATCAAAGATGCACCACGTGGTGCTTTAATTCAATCGGATACCATGGGCCAGGTCTTTTGAAAAGTCGGCGAAGAAGCCAATAAATCGGAAGAAAAAGTTCTCGAACTAAAATTCCAAAAAAGTTTCAGTAAATTTGCACTTTCTACACCACTGACAAGTATTATTTCTCGCCTACCGCGAGGAATGGGTCTGTTGAAAGAAAAGCAGTGGAAATTCGTCACCAATGACCATCTACACGTAGGTGATACTGCACCTTTTAAAACGGAAAACATGTTTTGCAGAAGGTGTGTAACTCTGCATCTTTAAAATAAGGAAATCAAATCAAATTCTTCGCATGGTAATTGTCTTTGAATCATGCCACTAAGTCTCATTAACTGTTCATTAGCTCCATATTATAAACAGTTCACATAATTAAAAAATCTAGGGAAAAACTACAGTTCTGGTAAAAAAATTCTTTAAAAATGCTGTACATACGAAACTGCTACGAAAAAAAAATGGCTAGGTTGACTTGAATACAAAGGCAAGTTCGAATTCCCCCAACAATGCCTTTATAAAGCAGAAAATGAATTCTTTGAAAAAAGTTAGCATAATACAAGAGAATTTTTAAAAAATGATACAGATTTCTGAACAAATCTCACTTAAATTGAATGTACATTGTTACATTTCATAATGAGGTCTACACAAAAAATAATAATTTGAAAAAAAAAATTACGCATAGAAGTAAGGATACCCGTACATTAGATCCACAGGAGTTTGGTCTCTGAGCAATCCCGTACACGAATTAGAAATAAATGATCAGTTTGTTCATGATAGCATAATGCAAAGTTGTCACACTGACATCAAGGTGTATCTGTAAGTATTTCAAAAATTATTAGTTTGCTGCAAAAGGATATTTCTGATCTGACCCGTGAACAAGTCAGCATCAGTTTTTTACGTGATAGAGGCGCGGACAGTCACTCTTTTTTTTTTTCAAGTCAGTTTGTCAGCCAATCTAGCAACCTTCCGTTTATTGCCCCGACTTTGGCCGTGTGGCTTGCTAACATGCAAATTCGCCCCTCTACCAGAGTCACAGATGGATTTTTTAATAGATAGTCAGAGATATGTCTCTGGGTAATTCATGGCACGATTCTTTCGCGCTGGAGAGAAGTCCACATAATAAATCTGCGGCCCTGATAGAGGGTAAGTTCATACTTGAATGTAGTAGCTGAGCTCTCTGGGTGGTTTACCTGGTTGTGCTCTAGAATAAGTGTGTTTTCCTTAAGGGGGCCACGTGTATGCCACAATTTACGGTATATGTATGCATGCGTCGTCCTAAGCTTCCTTTCCTATATCAAGCTGTATAATTTATATTACATTGTTTGCGACGTGCGTCTAGTCTTAGACACGTACGTCTCAATTGCGAACTCCTTGCGAGTAAAGTTCTAAAGTACTGCTACCATTCAAACAAACCGCTTCCAACACTCAAACACCTGGGACAGCAAAAGTGATTAAGAGCATATCACTACAGCCACTACTACAAGCTGTAAGAGGGTAATTAACTTTCGTGCCCGCTCGGCTGACAGCTATTTAGCGTGAACCCCCAGGGAGTTAGGTCGATCTAGTTGAATCGATCTAATCTCTGGGAATGGGGTCTAAGTTACCGCTTGTGGGGCGATATTTTTGCTTATTTCTTTGCAAGAGATCTGAAAATCAAAATAGTTCAAAATAATTTGCATCGGCCGGGAATCGAACCCGGGCCGCCCGCGTGGCAGGCGAGCATTCTACCACTGAACCACCGATGCGTAGTTTACCGTTGGCATTAGAAATTTGGCCACTCTCCAACCTACCCCATCCCTTTCAAACAACGTTGTTGTCCACAAATTTAGCTCAAAGTCAGGATCCAGTTGGGCAACACAAAAAACATATCACAATATTTTAAAAACTAAGTAACCAATATGTCTTTTTCTTTGATATACCAATTTACATCTTTATTTCTGTGGGACGCAGAAATAATCACAGGTACAAATGTATATAGGTCTCATATCCCTGCCGCGGGATGCACTCACAGATGTGCGTGATGAATTCAATAACCAGCACAGGTACATTGTATTAATTTTACGCGTTCACAGCATCATGAACAAGGAACATTGCTCATGTTATTTTGGAATCGTCGTTTCTTATTCTATTTTAATTCTTTTAAGAATTAAAATAGAATAAGAAACGATGATGTGGTTTTTATAAAACCACAGCCGACTTTCTCAACACTCCCTCTTTGGCGCAACAAGGCATTTACAGGATAGCAACTGTTCATTTTGGGCAAAAATGGATTTGCCTGGGATAAACGACAATTTTCCCGTAGACCTACTTACCAATGAATCCGTTCCGACAATCACAGTTAGTCCCTGTTTTTTTTTTTTTTTTTTTTCTTATAAAAAGTTTGGTTATTTGTTATATTATTTGTATATTATTCTGAATTTGGCTAAAACTTGGATAATCTTGTGAACCGCCCATGTCTTTATGTCGCTTCTGAATCCCATGCTTTGCAAATGTAAATTTACATTTTCGGATTTAAAGCAAAGAAAACAAAATTTTAAAAATATCGATTGGTAAAACAACCAGGAATCTTACAAACATGAAGAAATTTCGGTTACGGTTCGATTTGGTATGCAAACATCAACAAGACGACATAGGACAAGGTGTGCTTACATGCTCGTGGGCGTAAGTCCACCAATGACGCTCACAGCAGATTGCATTTTTGAAATTGTTACAAACTCTGAATTTGAACGGAAATGTTTTAGATGAAATTCGATGAAGTCAAGGCATTAATGTCAACTTTGACTAAAAGTTGCCAAGTACAATCTGTTGTAAAATCCACTTTGTCTATTATCAATTCTTGCAAAAGTCTTTCAAATATTAATATTTTTAACTCACCCTTTTACATAAATTAAATAATTCTGTCTTTTAGTGACAAATTCAAATTGCATAAAGTTTTGTTTTATATACAGATAAGATATTTTCTGTACCCGAATCGAATCGAACACCCACTTTTAGAGTTCCACCGAGCCAATGAAAACGCCGAACCATTTTGCATATAATTGTTAAATATTTTATTTGGAGCAAAATAAACTACAAGTGATGTATTCTCATATTTTCAAATATCCACTTGTTAAAGATTTTTAAAAAATTTTAATCACAACAAGTTTTGAATATTTAGATATGTAAAACAAAATTATTGATATCTGCATGAAGACTCGCCTTTTAAAAGTCACAAAATTAGTCCAAATTGCCAAGAATTTCAAAATGTGGCATCCTTTCAAATACCATTTATCTACCATTGTTTTTGTTTCATTTTAACCATAAGGTGCTGTGATATGGCTTTTTCTACATTTAATACAAGAAAATCCCAACAGTTAATGCTTTGAAGGAAAAAAACACATTTTTACCGTTTTGAAAAAAATATTGTCACAAGCTGTTTGTGAAATAAATTTCAACATTTCACATCAACCAATACGTTCAAATACACTACAAGAGATACACTTCAATGAGGAATGTGCAAAAAATCCCCTAGAGACACTGATTATTGAAAAAAAGGCAATTTAGCAATTGCAACAATTGCAACCTGGGCAAAATGGAGGGGCAAATCATGCTTTTACTTATACCACCTTGAATTCATATATTAAAGTCCAAAAATTTGTAATAAATGGCTTGTAACTTTCTGAACATAAATAATGTTCTCATACGAGGACATAAACATCATTTCTGCGTCTGCTGCTCGATATACTAAAGATGCTGTTGAGTTATAATTGTTAAAAAGCAGCAGAATTATGAAAAAGGGAAACTTTGGATCACATGACTGTTCCCTTCATACTTATACAAAAGTGAGGTCTGTTCAACAAATTAATGCCACAAATGCAAGCCATAATTAACAAATAATTACAAAAAAATGGACATAATATTTAACCTTAACTTTAGAAAAATTAGTAATATTAAGATTTCAATCCAGATGAGCAAATTTAGTTAAATAACAAAAAACGTTATATCCATGTTCTTTTTATGCACAGTTTAACAAGCAGACTTGGATTACCAAATCAGTTTGCAACTACATGTAATATTCGCAAAGAGTCTTAAATGTGTGAAGTTTATATACTCCATTATCAAACAAAATGATCGATTGTGGTCCGTAAAAATGGCACTTTTCACTCAACACGACAGCAAGTTTTCAAGCTTCAAAAGATTATTCAGATACGAATTTTAAGTTACTATATTTTGAGTCACCCTCGCAATGGAGATAAAGACTTGTGAATTTCACACATGTTGATAGAATTATAGTAATTTGGAATCCCAAACAGGGTTCTCAGATCTTTGTTTTCGAAACAGTTTTGGATAAAGTAGACCTAAAGGGAAAATTGCTGAAATTTCCGGATTTTTTTCTGTTTGCTTTATTAAAGGTCTAACCGCATTGCATGCCTTCAAAATTGAGAACTTATTGTAATTCCATGAGTTCGAAGCGAGTGAAAATATTGTTAATGCTAAGTTACGATTGACGAGTGAAATGCTCGCTATTTAGAAAATAAAAAAAAATATGAAAAATTTTTGTACTTTGACAAAATATCACGTGGGGATAATGTTGGTGGATGGCAAAACTCAGTTTTCAATATGCAGGCGTCAAACACATTCTTTTAATTGCACCAAGTTAAGTTTTCGACAAATACCTAAAACCATTGTATTAGAACATTTCGTTGAATCGGCTAAAACTGAAATATCCATATACATGGTACTTGGTATCCTGACCGCCTTTCATCCACAGCCTGGTCACTTAGAACTGAAGAAGTAACATCTCTTCCTAGGGTTCAGGTTTCAAATAATCCATCGGGATAGGAGGCAGGAAGTGCTAAGTGGCCCCCTTCCTATTTATCATGATCAATTACCATAATTTGACAGACAAAATTTGATTAACAATGTACTAGAATAGCAATGCACAGGAAGTTTTTGCTTCTCGCATATTTCAAAATACATTAGATTAAATAAATTAAATTAAGCTCCAAACCCTTACACACCCCAAAGTAAAATGGCATTATGTAGGTCACTGGCTATCCTTATATGGTCTGCTGCATGCTGCAATCTGAGCAGTTTTTGCCAGGTTTGACAAAACAAACCGTTCTATAGCGCCATCTGGAGGGGAACAGAAATGATCTTTTCTCTGCTGCAATCGGTAGCTTAGCAGATTGTTTTAGTGTGTGTGTGTGTGTGTGTGTGTGTGTGTGTTGTCTGCGCTTAATCTTCAGCACCACAGAAATGGCGATAATTATGCAATTCGAACTGGCATACATATACAAATAAAGTCATTTATAAGAATAACACCAACAGTACATGTTATCTACATCTGTACGGACATTATCTTTGCTCAGGGTCAGCTTTCATTTTTGATCTGTTAATAATATAAATCCAAAATCTATGTAAAATGACCTTATAATACTAAACCAGAATACCATAATGTTACAATTTAATGATAAAATAAATAAACCCATTATTAGAATAGAATTTAATAGATGAAAAGTGAATAGATAAACTATCAAAATTGGTTAAATACTAGTACTAGTATACTACCGAATTGAAATGAAAGAAAAAAGCACTGAAATGACATATATTTCATTATGAAAACTTCAGCTAATAAAACAGGCTATGCAAGACGAACTTTGAGAAAGAGTCGATAGAGCAGCATCGTCGAATACTTCTGCAGTGGACTAGGGTCTACATGTAATAACGGCGATTCCATTTTCGAACACCTATAGATCAGCATATCGCTGATCACGAGATTTGCGACAAAAAAGGAAAGTATCAATTTCATTTTTTCATATGAATTATATGATTATATTACGTGTCGGGGGGGGGGGGGGTCCTTATTCTTTACCCTGTGGTATAGTACTCAAGATAACTTAGTGCTGTCTCGTGTTTATTATCAAGTGAGCGTGCCATTTGCACAAACAATGTCCTATAGGCTTATCTCCTGGTAGAAAATATCTAGTAATGGCACGTAGCCACACACGAACTGACAACTAACTACCGAAAGACAAACGTTGTAAGAGCGGTGATATCTTTCATCCCACCATTCATTCTTTTTTTCTGTTATGGCGGTAACAGTAGCAAGAAAAGGTGAAAGCAGCCGGTGTTAGATAACATTTCGTGCACTGTTGCTTCACAGACTGCCGACTGAAGACGCCCTTGGATAACTACATATGGAAAGAAAAGGGAGAGCAAAATATCTTGCTATTTGCATTTTACTCATCGCTACCATTGCCTTTATTAGTATTCATATGTGTGTTCGCACGAGAGGCTCTTGCAAGACCAGCAAGTTGAAACTGTTCACGGCACCGCACACATTAGTAAAAGAAGAGTTCAACAACAAGATGAACATAAGCAGTAGAGTAGAACAACATTTCGAAAAGGATGAAGGTTCGATTAAAAAAGAATCTCCATTGAACCAGGCCAGGTATAGGATAATTAAAACACCGACACTGAGCAGTCAGAAGATAAAATCAACTCTGACTGCCGGAGAGGCAAGGCTTTCGACGAAAATGCATAATGAAAATATACACAAAGCACGGTACAGACTAAAGCTGAACGCAAAATGTCCACGTGAAAAAGACGTCTATTTAGTTACTGTCGTTGAATCGGCCCCTGGTTCATTCACAGACCGCCAACAGTTTAGAGACACGTGGGGGAGCGTTAAAGAAACGGGAGGCAAATATATCCACACTGTCTTCTTGTTAGGAGCAGCTCCAAACGTGTCAATTCAATCAATCGTGGAGAAGGAGAGCGCAAAATACGGTGACATCGTACAGTACGATTTTGTCGACACTTATAGGAACCTTACGGTAAAAACAGTCGCCGCACTGCGATGGGTCCTGAAATTCTGCTCTCACGCAAAGACGATGATGAAGACCGATATCGACGTCATAGTGCAATACTCTTTACTCGTAGACTTCCTGCAGTCCTTGGCGTTGAAAACCAACGGGGAACTAATGTTATATTTAGGCTGTGTCCTCAAACACATGCCCCCAGTGCGAGCCACGTCGTCGAAGTGGTTTGTCAGTGAGCAGGAATACGCAGGACACCGCTACCCAGATTATGTCGCAGGCTGGGGCTACCTTCTCTCGCTACCCGCAGTTAAATCTATAGTCCAGGCCGCACTGCAACTTCCATATCACCCGATGGAAGATGTCTTCGTTGGCATAGCTGCGGAAAAAGCTGGTGTCGCGCCTACGCAAAACAAATGGTTCGCTCCCGTGGTTAGTATGGGATATAGTTTCTGTTATTTCAAGCCGTTCTTGGTAATACACCTGCCCGGTAATCGGTTGATGCGGTTGCAGTTTTGGTTGGATTTGAAGCAGTTTGAAAATGATAGTTGTAGCCACGTGAATCGAGGCGAACCACCAGAACACGTCTGTCAACTGCCGTAATATCAGATACGCATTCTACAACTTTGTCAACGATCGAATTTTCCAAAGTTTGTTCATCAGGATATTACACTTTATTAAAACCGTTTCCGGTTTGGCTGATATGTTTGCAGCTTTAATAGTTTTATATTACTGGTGTTACACCAAAAGACTGTCTGTAGATAGATTTTGCTCAATTAACTACCACAGCCTGCAGAGGATGCAAGTGAAGGTCATTTTGAAAAGGAAAATTCCTGAATAAGCTCAAGATTTTCTGTATCATCTTTATACGATATCACAATTTCAATCATAAAATTAAAAAAAAAACTGAACAATGGAAGATGAGAATTTTCAGATGGATTGTTCATTGGATTTTGGCGCAGTATTATATTTTAACACATACCCTGGTGTATCACCGTTTTTACTGGCATCATCGCAGATTTTTCTATTACTTTTCGCTTAATTGGGTTAAAATAAAATGTATAGGCATAAACATAAAAACATACGCAATTTCAATCTCTTTTCTTGAACTAAGCCAAATGTAGAATTGCACACAATTTGCACAGGATAATTTTTTTAAAGCAGAGCAAGGCAAATCCATCGCTTTAAACAACGTAATATACCCCAAGGACATGCCCAGGCGACCGAAAATGATTGTTGGTCGATTTACAATTACAAAAATCCCATGAAATGTGCGTTCATTCAGGAAACCATGGGCAGAGCCAGAAGTACTGAACAACGAGGCAATGTTATTGCACCACTTCCTTTAATTACAAAATAATTCAAAGTTTATAAAAACTTTACTTTGATCATATGATGACTGGAAGTAATAGACTGATTAAATGCTTTAAGTATACAATATCAGCACCAACTGTTTGTGCTTTGCTGTTCTCTATCTGATAAAGGACGTGTGTATTATCCAAAATAACAGATTGCGTAACTGAATTACACATGCAAAAAACAGTTAACTCCATTTTTTCTAATGGGCGCGGTCCTGTTTTTAATAATCAAGCAGTCTAGAACAGATGATATCAAGGTACATGTAGCACCGCTTGATGTAATTTCACTACTAAATAATAATAAGAATACAAAAACTAGCACGTCTCTTTAAATTTCCAGTAATGCTATTATTGGCCATATATTGTCTAGTACATTCTTTCCAAATAGAGAGAGCTGCCTTCCTCTATAATAATGTGTTGTGCTGCTCGACATATCAGACTTACGCCTATCTTATATAATAACTGACATGAGCATGCAAATCAGAAATGCAGTAAGCCATCAAATCAAAAACGTGTTTATCAACTACATTTACCATCTGTCTTAAAATGCACTGTATTACTATTTTTTTAAAAGTTTTTTAAGGAATATTTTCAGTTTTAACAACATGCTGATATTCCACTCATTTCACTTGCTTGGATAAAATCCATGCCTGCAAGAAGAAAAAAAGACAAAAAGCAATAACCAAACAATAGGCTTACTTATTAACCAAGCTATTACGAGGACTACTCACGATTACATGTGACCATAAATTTTCAGAACTTCCTTCAAGACAGCCTGTACCAATGTTTCACAGGCACACTACATAACTTTCAAGCCAATGACACATTTTTTAAAAAAATTACCTCTTGACAAGTGAAACTGAAGAAGCCATTACACTACATCAAATTTTCTCACACAGCTGAGAAAGAGACTACACACCTGCCCCACAGAGTATTTGGACCCAGCGCCAATGGTGACAACATGGACCCCAATGACAGGTTTGTTCCTGACCGCGCCCTTACAGCTGGCACACCTGAGATACTGGTAGCAACATTGGTCTGTACTGCACCACAAGCTGTTCACCTCCACACCTGGATACATAAATATCTCAATGTATTACACTGGACTACTTTCTTTATATTTTTTCATAAGAAAATTACCATCACTGTACATTTGAAGTTCTGATTTGTACTTTTTGGTGGCAATGAAAAACATATACACATAAAAAATCCTTGACTTACCTTACTGGGAGTATTTTAACCATTTTTTTACTACTGTGAAAAGCATTTCATTATCAAATTTCCAATAATTATTTTTTCAAACAACTGGGCTTTATTATCAATATGCAAGGCCCTTATCCCATCAAGCAGTATTCTTTAGCAATACAGTCTGTACCAGTTAACTATGAGAGATTGATAAATTAATAACTTGGTTATTGGGTAGGAGATTAGCCCAAACCAGGCTGTGCACTAAACACAGCCAACTAACAACAAAGCAGGAATCAGACTTGTGAGAGTGAGTTAAACACCTTGAAGTGTAATCACATGTTTGGACCTCTCAAAGTGTACTGAAACAGACAGACTGTATTGCTAAAGTGGGGCAGATATGAAGTATACCACACAGGGTTACAAGAGCCTCAGACACACAGAGGAAGAAAAAGAAGCAGGATCTGATCACCTCTGAGAGTCCCTCCCTCCCAGTCAGCGACTGCAGCACCCAGAGCCTTCCTGTCCATCTGGAACACATTCTCTGACCCACTGGACAGCCGACTGACCATCTCTGGGACAATCTGGCCTGCGTCTTTATTTGAGACTGGAAAGATATTGACAGCTTTGTGTATTTAAACCAAATTTTGTACCCAAACTGATTCACAAGAGTAGTTTGGCATTAGGTAGCAAGAAAAAGTTGAAATAGTTTCTATAAGCTTTGACATAACCATAAGGACACTTATTTGAATGCATGTTTAATGTTGTATCATATTTTCATTACCAGAATCTGTTATGGATGACAGATAAAAAAATTACAAATTAATCTTCAACGACTATATCAAAGTTTCTTACCAGAGCCTCTCTTGCACAAGTCAGCACCACAAAGTTTGCATTGGAAACAACTGTCATCATCTGTCTGAAATGGATGGTGGAATAAAAAAATATTTGAAAAGAGCTTGTAATTCTCATTATTTGTCTGAATAATTTAATGGGTACCACTTTCAAAGTCTGTTTATGATTTCTTACATCTTATTACTTAAGACACAGCTATTTTTAACAACTTAATTGACAGGGTTTCCACCATATTTTCAAGTAGAGAGAGGTTCAATTTTCATTTCAACTTGAAAAACATGGAATATTCTTTAAATACAGATAAAAAGTATGTCTACAGAGATTGAACAAATTTTAAAGTCTATATGCTATGAGGCAAGACTTCTAGAGCACTGACCACACTAAGTATCATACAATACGAGAGAAAATAGTTGATGTCCTTGTTAAAAAGTGGAAGGAAGGGGGGGGGGGCACTTTTGCCAATAGTGCTTCAATGAAACACCATGAGATAAAGGTTTTAGTTTAACACAGCTTGGAGGTCAGCAAAAGGGATGGTTATAGAAACTACATGTACCTGTTCTCCAGAGCAGTCCACCAGGTCTAGTATGTCCCGAGACTTCTGGCGTTTACTGGATTCACTTTTCCGTTCAACTCTGCTTCTCTTTTTTCTGTTCATGATTGTGTCATCCTCGTTGCCTTCTTCCTCAGTGGTACAGTTACCTTTGGCAGGTACATTCGTTTCTTTAAAAACAGATCTTTTTCTAGAAAGACTTCTGGACCTTTTGGTCCTGGTATTCACGGAGCTGGAATCTTTTTGGTTGGAAACAGCAATTGTAGCGTCCTCACCATCTTGAGGTTTGAGCTGAGGTTCTTTTTTAATTGTATTCTGGTCAGGTTCAGCAATTGCATTAGAAATTGCTTCAGACATTTCATTCACAACCTTAACATCAACTGTCTCTTGGTCATGAAGTGTATCCTGACCCTCTAAGCTCATGGGCGCTGAGAATCCGTCCATTGATTCAGAGTCAAACAGAGGTGGTGTGCATGAAAATCTGGGACAACTTTCTTCTTGTTTCTCAGGAGATGGAGCTTTTTCAACTTCCTTATTCCTTCTATTGGCAGGAATGTTCACATGTTGGTAAAATTTATCTCGCTTTGAGGTTTGAACCAGAGACTTCGCTTTATTATCAATAATTCTCATTTCGCTTATGGCTTTACCATCAGAGGTTGTCCCTGAGAAAGGATGTCTCTTTTCAGGTTCAGGGTCATCTTTTCTGAATCTAAACATGTTCAATTTATCTTTCAATTTTCCCTTCAGTGTAATCTCTTGGTTCCTAGCTGCTGGCTCTTCACTTCTATTAGCAGCAACATCAGTACCACCTGCTATTTCATCACCCTCCTCATCCCCCTCTCCCAAGGACAGCTTACACCTGGGTGTGCCAACCTCTGCATCTCTCTGGGATCCAGTGGCTTCTTTTTGTGAAGGAGGGCTCACAAACATCAGAGGTTGGTAGTTTCTTGCACCACCACTGCCTTCTGAAGTTGATCCTGTTGAAGACTTTGACCGTTTCTTATTTACTGCTGTACCCATGGTTGCCTTGGATAATACTGGTAGCTCCACAGCTCCAGGGGTGGAAGACTGGGGTTTGCCATTTGCTGGCAAAGGGGTGTCAATTTGGGATTTTACGCTGCTAATGGCTGCTGTGGGAGTGAACATTATATCCTTGCCTTTTGGAGGTGCAGGACTAGTAAGAACGTACTGACCAATGAAAGTCTGTCCCATGTTTGCTTTAGTATCTCTCCCTCCTTGCTTGGTTTTGGTAATAGACTGTGGACCCACTGGCCTTGATTCAGCGTTTACAGGCGTTGTTTTTTTCAGTGCTGGTGAGGCGGAATGTTCTACAACTTGGTTGACATTTTCATCTTTTGTCAAATCTGGAAAAAAAGTTGACAGATTGACATGTAAACAGATCTTCCCCTTAATGTGTCAAAACTAATATCAAAAAATATTTTTGACTTCATGTATATGCCTTCAGGAAGCATTTCTTTTCATAGATTCAGTAACAAAAATGAATGCGTGTCATAACAGTCCCCTTGGAGCACACTTCCCCCGTAATACTTCAATTAAATTAAAATCCAGTTGTAAGCTACAGTACCTATCACTAAGGAATTTCTCTGCTGCAAACTGGGGTCTTCTTGTGACATTGGAGTCTGAGTACTGGGAAGGAAACCACCTGCCATACTGGTATTCAAACTGAAAAGGAGAAAACAGAGGGCAAAATCAGATTATACATCTGACTGGGATAATAATGTGAGATGGGTACAAAAAAAGAAAGAAAAAAAAAATTGGATAAATCATAAAGGAGGACTGAGGGAGGAGGCATTCTGTTAAAAATCTTACATTTGTTTAAAATGAGCTCAGCTAGTGAGCAAAAATGTTCATTAGTTTGGCAGTTGGATTGTGAATGAAAATTATCAAACACCAGCCGAAAAACTTTCATGCAGTTAGCTTACGGCTATCAACATCAGCCGTAGCAGCCACCCATGAATAGGGACTGGGGACACCATTTACCTGCCATTTATAAGAGGGTCATGGCCGCTTTACCACCTAGCAGTCAGTGAGGGTCAACATCTGCTCACATCAGTCTGATAAAGGCCTAAGTTCAGGGGCCGTAAGCTAACAGTATGACAGATTTTCAGCTTGTGTTTGATAATTTTCATTTATTGACTTACCTGGTGTTAGCAATAGTGTTGGTGGGTGGGTTCTCTATCATAGACTGTGTGAATTCTTTGAGAGACAGTCTGGCCTGGGTGAAGGTCACGTGGTTCTGGACTCGCTGGCGTACCCATTTAGAAAGACCTGGCAACAATGTCCCTTATGAAATTATTAATCTTATCTAAAAGCACAAATCAACAAGTATTATATTGGAAAATCATTTAAAGAAATCAAATCAAATCAAATCAAATTTCAGGTTCATATGGACACCAGGATAAAAATATATTTATTTATTTATTTATTTATTTATTTTTTTTTAATCTTAATACCGATTTCATGAATTATATTTATTCATCTATTATTTTTCTTTATATTTATATTTCAGGAATGAGACTGCCATTTAGTTAAAAAGTCAGAAAATATGGTGTTGTGTCCAGGGGTTGCCTAGGCCAATACAATTTTTGGCTCCCAAAAAGTTAGAAATCTGCTGATAGTTGGAAAAATATCATCCCTGATATTTATTAACTTATTTATTCTTTATCTTGAGCATCAGTTTTAAAACTTTCAAGCACCCCACCTTTTGTATATTTTTGAGGATTATTTCCAAACCTCTGATCCACCAAGATGAGTGCCCCCCAGTCCCTGATGTGGCGTATACACCTGCCCAGGGCCTGGTTGAGAGCACGGTAGGCCTGGATCTCGTACCACTGCGCCCCTGTCAGCAGCCCGCGACTGGCGTGGTGCTGGTTGTTATAGTTACGCTTCAGTTCCACCTGCAGGTCCTTCACATTGGGGAATGGGATCCCAACCTGTCAAATTATAGAAAATATTGGCAAAATTATATATTATATTTTGAAGTATTAAAACTGATGCTTGTGGTGAAAAAAAAATGTGCCACAGCCACAACTGTTAGTTAGATTTCAAAAAAAAAAACAAAAAAACTTTACGATAAGAAAAACAGCTATACACACTTAACAACTTTGGGGCACCAAATAAATTCAATGACTCACAAGGGTTGTATGGCAACTTTGGTACGTAATTGAGATTTCAATTTGACAAATCTATCTTAAGTTTTGGGGCCATATAATCATTGGATGCTCTGGCAAAATACTGACAACAGAATAAAACTTAAATGTCTTGATAGCTTTTTAAAATCAATACTTTGCCTCTGTTCTTCTTTTCAAAATCAGACTTCTTATAATTATATTATGTTAATGCCCACAAAAGAAACAATCAGAAGGTAGTCTCACTGTTATCACTGCTCTAGCATTATTATCAGCAAAGTCCAACCCTTCACTGACTTTCCCTCGGCACACGGCAATAAACAGCGCACCGTCCTGGCCCCCACTTTCAGCTGGAGAAGAATACCAAATACATTTAATAAATACCTTCTTTCACCTAAAACTTTGCATTATTTCAATATGCAGCTTTGATTTCTGTAAAGATAATTGTTCAAATTATTTCACATCCGCAAAAGAGACAAAACTGAGGAAAAAGTTTTTAAAATCTCTTTTTGACCAATGGAAAATTGACTACCTGATGACAAATTGTTTGATGAAAATAATCAGACAAATTATTCAAGGCATACAATTAAAAATTCTAACCGTGATCCTAACTTATCTTTTTTTTACCTCCATCTGCTGTTTCCTCAATGGCTTGATAAAAAGATTTCATTAGTTCATCAAAGTCCACTTTGTCTGATGCTCTTGGCTCACAAAACAAGGCTTTCTTTTCCTGCAGGGCTGACCCCACCCCTGTTGTCTGGTGAAATGTTATCAACAATTTCAAATACTAAAATACTAAAAACATTACATAAAGATAGGCAAATACTTGAAAATATATTAATCCTCCACTTATTTTTATTTTCTGGTTTAGCTTAATGGAAGAGCAAATGTAGTATATTACATCTTATTCAATAAGAAATTTTAAAAAAAATGTAAAGTGACTGTCACAAAATATTCTTTTGTTTATAAACAGTGACAAAAACATCCTGCCAGTCTCACCTCCCACCGCGCTTTCAGCTTCTCCAACATGTTATATGAGGAAACAAACACCAACACGCCATGAGGAACAGTCTGCAACACACAAACAGTATGAAGTTTTTAACAGCACATTCTAAATATCATGACTCAAATCATCGATGTTTGACGCTTTTTATCAATGTTGACACAAAACATGGAGATAAAAAGTGACATAATCATGCTTGTTGAAATTTGATAAAATTTCTCCAATTTTGGTGAGGGTGTTTGGTAACTTCATGGAATTCTTCTGTAAACTACTCTTATCTACCTTACACCTTTTTTTTTTTTACAAACTGTCAAAGTTAAAATCAATCCTCATGTACTATGTGACCAGTATCCATAAAATGGACTTATGAAACTTTCAGAAGACTGACTGAATGTGATAACTATAACCCCCTCCAATACTCCACTGGCAAAGAAAAAATAAAATACAGGAATGAGATGGAAGTTTTCATGACTCAATAATTTGAAAAATATTTCTGCATTTAATGTCGTTACAAAATGAAAAGTCTCAGGCAAGGAGTTTGCAAGAAAGTCTTTATATAAAATTTCCTTATTGAAATTTGTGAGAGTTTGCAGCAGGGCTGGTATTTTGCTGAGGGTAAAGTGTTTGCAATTTCACTTTCAACCATATGCAAAATATTGAACACAGTGCACAGGAACAAATCTGACACGATATTTTGACCCACTGACCAAACGTGATCTATAAATCAACAAAGTAATTATTGCCAATTTTCAATAAACATGTCACTTTTATCTCACTGTAACAGGTCAAACTGAACACAGACAACCTTTTCATCTGACAACACACAACCGACAGTTCTCTTTTTATCTTATGAAAACAACACAAACTCAAACAAGTAAGTGGAGCTAAGGGCAATGTTTTCATCTAAATCGACACGTTTAAGAAAAACTTTGGAAAAAAACTCAAGTTTTTCAATATATATCCTGCCATAACATTTAACAAAAATATGAATATCAGACATTTATCAAAGTGCTCTTTATCCAACAGAGAAGAAAAAAACAGGTCACCAAATCTTTTTGGTATTTCAAGAAAAACAGTAATGTTGAAAGGCCAATCTTATTATTTCATGAAAGAGCTCACCTTACAAACTTTTACCAAATAATTTCTAAATCATAATCAGAAAAAGGGAAGAGCTGTTAAAATATTTACTCAAGACACTCTCACCTGGCAGACACTCAACACTAACTGGCCCAGCTCATCTTGGAAGGCAAAAGTCTCAGTGTTCTGGTAAGTGGCCTGCAGTGGATGACCACCAGGTCCCCTGGTCACTGTGCCCACCCACACCTAGGGGGAGATGACCAGTTCAAGTTGACAGAACAAAGAAAATAAATCATTTCCAACAGGCAGCAGAGTATTATGTTCTAGTTCTAGTCTTATTCATTACCAAACAATTATTAGTTATATCCAATAATTACAGCTTGAAAAAAATACTGGAAATAACTAAACAAAATTAAAGACATTTTTGCAATATCTTATAATATCAATTTTAAAAGCATTTTAGACATGTAGCCATATGTTTACTGTGGCATGTGAAGCATGAATGCCTGTCATTCCCAGCCCTGAATTTCAAAATCTTACACTACCAATATGTAAAATTTATACTGGGAATTTTTCACAAATGTTTCTTTTTTCATATGTTCAGCAGGTGTTAGTACATTTGTCCAGTACCTGCTTCTTCCCCACAACATGACTGGCCTCCAGTTGAATAGGGAATGGAATTCCTAGTTCAGACTGGAAGGATCCCATAGGAGACAGTGTGCCACTGGTTAATACCACACAACGGCTGTCACCCAGCTCTTGAAAAGCCTACAGAAAGAGAAGCATATATTTAATGTATGTGGTCTTTCCACACTTTATAACTACATGTGATGTATATAATAGCTTTATGATCTTAAATGACAAATATTTTGATAGCTTTATGCTAAACCACTAACAACTAATTTGTCAAATCATGATTTCATTTCACTTTTACAAATAAACCCTCTGTAGCTTTATTTTGTAATAATAGTAATGTCACTGGTGGATCTGGCATAAAATCAATGCTTTCTTCCTCCGAACCAAAAGATGGATCTAGCACTTTACTGTACTGAAACGCACTGCTGCAGAAGTTCCCAAATTGCCTATTTGATTTTGGAAAAAAAAGTGGAGGGAGTCTCAGGTCTTATTTGATCTACTGAAGGCCAGTTCCTTACCACAGCAGGATTGAGGCACCAGAAGTTCAGAGAATACAGCCATTCTGTCACATAACCTGAAAAAAAAAAAAAAAAAAAGACAATTTAAATTGCTTTACAGAGCCCTATGTACATATCTACTTGACTTAGACAACTAGCATTATAACTATCAGCAACCGAGGCTTGTACCTAACTCTTCACTGCTTTTTTAAAATACTGGTTTATCATGAATAATATATAAAAGTTATATGCTCTTACCATTTCTTGGGCGCCTTTTTGATAGCCACTGGTTCTCCTGAGAGAAATATGAAAAGTCATAATCAGTGAGAAAGATCTTACTTTTCTGAAACCAACTGAAAATAATAGAAGATAAACAATACTAAAATTTTCTGCTTCATCATCTTCCCATTTCGGTGATCTTAAGTTTATCACATTTAAAGGTTGAACTGCTAATTAGCAGATTCAAAGTCATTTTTACTCACCACATTTGCTCTTTTATGGGTTAATGTCTTTACCAAAGCTAACCTGCAAAAAACAATAAACATAATACAGAATGAATCATTTCTATGACATATGTTAAACAGACTAGAGTTCTAAATTTTTTCCACTGAAACATGTAACTGTAATTACACTTTTTCAGTCCTCTTAATACAATGATCAGCGAAAAAATGACCATTTTTCTTCTCTGCATGCCAACCCTAATCCCAGATTTGAAAATACAATTTGTAAAAAACAGTAAACTAACTTGTAATCATCCAGAAACTTCATTCCATTTTGGAAAACAAAGCTCAGCACCATGAATAGTCCCTTCAACACTTGAGTTGTTCCCCCATTCAGCTTTGGAGTTTCCATTGCCATTGCTGTATGCTTGTTCTCCTGTTCTTCTTCTTGAATCTTCTTGAAATGTTGCTTAAAAGATAAAAAACAGGTATTTATTTCATTAAAACCTCCCTATAATCCCTATACATTTGGCAAATTAAGCTTATACTAACCACCAACATTAATACACAGATACCTAACAGAACACCTCAACGGGCATCTCAAAGAATATCCTTTTCTTACTATCAACAAGGGATAAGCTTCTGGTCCTATCCCCATATGTTGTAGCCTAGCAACCATGTCTATGCCTCCCCAGAATTTGGCTCCGCCACTGAAGTCCTTCTGCTCCACTGCAGACCCTGTCTCATACAGAAATGTCTGTATGCTTTCACACTGGAACAAAGGTGGTGCAAACTGTTGACTGCCATACTTTATGGGAAGCATGGGTACATGGACATGCAAACTCCAAACTAATTAAATTTTAATACTTAAGCAGGAAAAAGATTTTGTATGACAAAACATTTAAGAATTTTTTGCCACGGTTTGAATTATTTGATGCAATGATATATCTTCAAGAGCCAAATAAATTAATATATACTCGCATGAAAAATACTGTATCAATAGTGCACAACATTTTCTTGACAGTTCTACAAAAATGAATGAAAACATCACACTGACATTGAAGATTCATATCATGTCAAATGTACAGACAAAAAGCAGACAATAACAATGCACAAAACAGGCTACTGTCAATTCTGATGCAAAAGTACATTATGCTTAACTGCAAATTCAACATCAAATTTTAATTATGC